AAGAGTGTTTCTGCTCCCATTTTATCCCTTCTTCTTTCACAATTTGTGACATCTTCAAGGATTAAAGCCAAAATTGATTTATTTATTTAGTGAGAAAACTCGTTTTACCCAGAAAAAAAAAAACCAATTTGATTTTAGAGATGGGCCAAAGTACATTTCATCATTCATACCTCCAGCCATTGTTGGTGTTCCTATTGCCTTTTCTAGCCTAAATCCATGGCATAATAAATTCCTGCCCATTTCCTCAATGCGTGTGTATTGCGTATTCTCAAGAGACCGCCCATGCGTGCCTCGGCAAAGTGAAAAGATCTCAGCGTTTTACAGCGCTCATCTTCAGCATAAATCATAATCGATATTGATGGCCAAGATATCCAGAGCCTCTGGGCACGAATAAATAGATTTCCTGCGAGACTTGCTCTCCCTGATCCCACATCAAACTCTTTGTCATCCGCTCTGTGACAATTTATTAGCTGACTTTCATCCCTTCTGCACTCTTGTCGAGAGTGTTAGAGAAGAAGTCCTCGGCAATATTGGAGAGCTTTTCACTCATCGCCATGAAAGGAGAGAAATCATGGCAGTAAATTCGGGATTCTCTGAATTCCATCAGTGAAATCCGTATTAAAACGAGGCATTTAATTGCCTAAGACTCCATTTCTCTGGGCCATGGCTTTACCCTTAGCGCAGAGCGCCCCACACCCCCCGAACAACCGCAGACCCGGAGAAGCCTTATGCTGTTGTCATGGTTGGGAAAGCTTCGGCGTGACGTCACAGTCGAAAAGGTGCGATGTTGAGAGAAATTGAGATAGAAATGGCTGAATGACACGGAGCTTTTCTCCGTGGCGTGTCTGGATGGGATATTCCACGACAGGATGGGTCTAGTTAGGCGGCGAAAAGGCAGAGAAGGTGGAGAGGAAGTGGAAACAAGCAAAACGATTTATATCCATTTATTGTTCCCACCGATTTTAGCTATTTTATGTCCTCGCGCTTGCCTGAAATGTCTTCCATTTGGGCGCAATAGAGGTGAAAGATAAAGATGATGTACACCCTAAATCACCAGGTGAGATGAAAATGATTGTCTTCTGAGTGAAAATCCATTTGATATGCCATGATTATGGTATGTCACGCAGAATATTAGAAATTACATTGATATAGATTGCGTCAATCGGAACGATATTCGTCTATAAAGTGGATTTTTAATTCCCTCCTTCTCAATAAGCAATACGCTTTTCTGTCCATCTTCGTGACTGATTATTATTTAAATTCGATTGTCCATGAAAACAATGGGAAATTTTCTGTTCTTGACAAGAATATTTGATTCGATAACTTTTTGACTTTCCTCTCCCGGTGCTTTTCGGGGTTCTTTCTGATGCTCTCCATCGCCGTGTTTCCCTTTTTATCTCAATGTCTTTTCTCTTCCACCCTCTGGCAATCTCTGTGTTTTTCCCTCCCACTCGACTAGAAAACTGGTGCACACGCAAATGGCCGAGAATGGCAAAGGAGGCAAACATGGGGGAAAGTGGAAAAGATCATTCACACGTTCCATTTCAACCATTCTTGTTCTTTTCCTTTCACTGTCCCTCGTGCCTTGTACGCCCTGAAAGACAGCTCATGTTGAGGTGTCACACAGCAATCATACCTTCACTCTGGATGTATACTTTTCATTTCCGCTCCACGACGAGCAGAAATTGGAAAATATCCACTGTAATATTGGCGCAATGAATAACGCCAATATAATTCTCCGTTGCGATAATTGCAAAATTCAGTTTAATAACTTATTAATATGTATTAAAGCTCTAGCCCCGAAGCCTTGAATTATCCACAACACAATCCCATTATAGAATGGGAAATCATATTTCTCTTACTTTACAACCATCAAAATGGGAAATCAAATTTACAACACAGATTATTTCCATCTGTTGTATCGAAAAGTTTGTATATGTATTTTTTTTTCCTTTTCCCTCAGAGCAAAAATCCAGTATCAGAGGGGCCATCAATTGCGAGTGGAAAAAGGTAAATAGAGAGAAAAAGCAGAAAAACTGAGCAAAAGCCATAGAAGAAATGTATATAAAACGAGTCAATGAATATATTTATATGTACTAAAATTAGGAAATCTCTTCACTTTAGAAAGATGTGTTATAACCAAAGGAAAAATCACTTAATCAATTAATACATTTTTGATTATTATTGATAGAAAATGTCATTTTTCAGTAATATCGAAGACGAGAATGAAACTGTAGTTTTTCTGAAAGCAAGCAAATAGAAGTATTGACACAACACCTTAAGTTGTATTGAGAGAGCTTTTATGTGTTTGTTCCGTGAAAATATTACTCACAGATATTCGATCTTTTTCCTCGCTCTGAAAAGCTCAAACAGAAGTCTAAAGTATATTTACATCGAGTGATACTGAACAATACGCTTTGTGAACACTTCTTTAATATCGCAAGAGAGAATATAAACTTACATATTTCACTGCTTTTTGCTCACTTTCTGAACTATTATGCAAATTTGGACTTGCACACTTTTTTCATGTACTCACACGAAATACAGAGTCACAAATCTGACGGAATCTGGGATTTACAAGCCTCTTCGGGCTAAATTCCAGCCGGGGAAATAACGTATTCATGGATTGAGAAGTTTTCCCGAAGAGATAGAGAAAAGTTGTGTGAAAATTCTTGGCGTTATTGTTGTCGTTCCTCACCTTCTGATCCGCAACAGACAATTCCGCCCCATAAAATGAGGATGTGGGCAGAGCGGAAGTGGAATCGAGGAAGTGGACGTGAAACAGGAGAAAAAATCATTGAAACATCGTACAAACAGAGGGAGAGATTTAGTAGCAGATGGTAATTGCAAAACTTTTCCCACGCCAAGTCCGCAGTCGTACAACACTTGGCATATTTATACACTTCCATGGAAAGCTCTCAATGGGAGATTATTGTGTGGCATGGGACAGAACAGGACACCTTCGGAACGACTGGCCTGAAAATCTATGTGATCTAAATAAACACATCGTAAATATTTCCGACTCCATATCGGTGAGTGTGGCGAAAATCAAGGGGATGAAGAGCTTTCTGCCGAGGTGGAATGACGACCGATAAACACATGACGCCTAAGAGAGGGTATAAACTAAAAATAAACTACAGCTTTGCTCTTCACTCCACCCCCCCCCCCCAAAAAAAGCCACATTCACAGTGGATTTTTCATTGGGGAAAACACACCCCCGAAAAATATCACTCCTGTGCGGCGGTGTTTAGCAAATCACCAGTAAATCTGTCCAAGTGGCAATGATTTTTATTGTGCACATCAATTCACTCTCACCCTGTCCTAGCGTTTTATTTCCCCATTTATTTAGCAGTTATTCGTTTTGATTGCTTCTAATATGGAGACTCTTCTCGGCCTAAACTACCAATTCACCGCCCGTCGAGTCTATCTGGAATTTTCTGCCGCTTTCCCACCTTTTTTTATGGTGTGCGATATTAAATGCCGTGATGAAATAATAGTTTTTTTCCCATTTACCCAGTGATATCACAGCACCAGGAATGACTCAAGTTTTTGCCTTTCCTCAATCTCTTCAGCAAGTTCTGTTTAATCACTTTAATTGACTGCTTTGCACAGTATAATTTTCAATTTTTCCACATTATTGTTCGTGTTTTTCCACCTTGATGGGGTAAATATTGAAATACTGCTCGACTAATGACTTAATTTTATTTGAATACACATGGCAAACAAGCAAATATTGGAAATATACTAATTTTCCCAGAGTGAGAAACTACATTGACGTCATTTAGAATTAATTCCTGATAATAGGATTTCACTTCGATTCGTGAAAATTTATAATTACGCAGTACAGCAAAATCCTCTTTTCTGATTTGACTATTCAAAATCGTATTGATTGAGATGTTTTTCATGTTTAACAGGGAGAATAGAAACCTTGATAGAAACTAGAAATATTGCTGCACAAAAACACTTTGTCACTTCCGCTTATACGAAGTGAAGTGAAAGGAAGCGACCTACAAACGGAGTATAATGCTTTATGAGTCTTTCTGACTTTATTCTAATTCATTAATATCGATTCAAGGCCTTGGAAAAATCCTCTCTTGTCTCAGCGTTATCAATATGCTGCACTTCGCACTGTGAGAAGTGCTGAAAGCAGGCCAAAGGTTGTCGGAACAGTAAACGACGGCAATCTGTTTGAGCACAAATGCTTCGCATCTCGGGATTTCGTCCTAGATCCCTCGATTGGCGGATCGATAGCGCCAGCGAGAGGGTGGAATTTCCACATCTGAAGAAAGTCGCAATTTTTTCCGCAAATCCTCCCCCAAGTCAATTTCATGAGCCTATGCTTTCCCCACCCGTGATTTCCTCTTTTTCTCTGCGAGATTTCTCCTTCTCGAGGATGGCAGTCGATGATGAATATGAACCGCCATCCGACACACTTGAGTGGCGGTTGGAAAACTCCGTGCATGTATGAAAGACTGTGGCTTTCCTACCCCCCCAAAGAAAAAACTGTGTTTGGCAGAGAAAATTTCACCATGGTGAGACGTAAGACGTCAACATTCTCATTTCTTAAGTGATTTATTCTCTATATACATGTATAATGGCAACATTTCTCATACAACCCCCGACAAATCCCCATCCAGGCGCTTCTCCGCTGGAAAATTACACTTAGCGCAGCGTCTCTCGTCACAAGAGATGAAGTGGAAAAGGGAAAGTTGGGGTCATGGTTTGAGACGCAGAGGGTGGAAAAGTTGTGCTGAGATGTGAAAAATTCTCTTTTAGTTAATTCGCTAAATTAATTTGGGCAATTCATTTTTCCCTCCGCAAACTCTCGCCATTGTTCCTTCGCCACTTTCCTTTCGCCAACGCTAAATCCACATTGAGACACGCTCTCTCACCTAATAAAGTCACAATGCGACCAGAAAGTTGATGAACTGGACAAAATTTCACCCTATTCGGCCCACAGAAAGACGATCGAGCGCGCTAATGAGAGCTTTTGTGCCTACCTGGAGCTTCTCCTCTTTGCTGGACTTGGAGCCCGGACTGCTGGTGGTCGTGGCAGCGCCCGCAGGAGCACTCAGGCCGGATGGAGCCGAGACGAGGCGCTCGCAGTAGCATCCTTCCAGGAAGATGAGGCCTGACGGCCTGCCTGAGCCCTCGTTCTCATAGTAGAAGAGGAGATTCTACAGAGGAATGTGAAGCATTTAATCACGACACATCTTTGCCAGCGCGCCATCAAAAGATGACGACACAGCAATTCATCAATTCATGAATGAAATTGCAAAAATTTAATTTTCCCCTATTTGAGAAGTCGAAGGAAAACGGCAAAAACACACTCTCACACGTTATTTGATTGTGTTGATGCGTACGGAAAAAATTCATGGTATTTCAAATTAAAATCAATTCAATTGCTATTACAATGTCTCGTGGATTGTGGTGTTATGAGAAAATGTGTGGATATTTTCAGATGGTGTGCGACTGAGGGTGGCTGAAATGGTCGCAGAATTGCTAATTTTCTTCCCACGCAGCTTTAAAAAAAAAATTCCTAGCGCACAATTTCCAGGGTTCATGAAATGTTTTTACAGCTTTATTTTTTAATGCATATCATAAAGTAAATTTACACTGGTCACTGCGGCTGACATGTGAAATAATTTGTATGCATTTTATTCAAATATTAGGGGAAGTGCGGACAATTTGTGAAGATAGTTCACAGAAATTGGATTAAGGTGTCTAAAAATCAGAAATTGATCAACAGATGAAAATCGGACAGAAGATCTAAGCAATAAAGATGTGAGATGAAAAGTAATTTAGCGAAAATGAGCACAGACTTTTCCAGCTTTACCCTTCATCGCAGTTAATTGCAAATTCAAATTAACGCTGTGAAAAGGTTCTGAAATCATTGACAGCTTGGCAGTAGAATAACCAATAATTTTGATATCACAATTTGCATATCATAATAAAATGCTAATGCAATTCAGTTTTAATGAAACTGTTATTTCGTGCTCATGTGCCGTAAAATACCACCCATGGTCGCGTTGTAGGTGAAAGTGAAAGTTTTTCTGTATTTGCAAACTTGCGAGTTACTATAGAAAAGCATTGTCACGAGTGAAACTTACTTGGTAGAGGATGAACCATCTGAGCTGCCACTTGTTGCTATCAGCTGTCCTTTTGTGCAGATAACCATGCTGAAAGAAAGAACAAAGTTTTACCTGTTTGTCTACCAAACGCCCCATATTGATAGTAAAAGCGATAATTAATAAAGGCGTGAAGAGTGACACGACGATGGAGAGGAATTGTGCAAATGTGTCTTATTAGTATTCTCTTGAAGGTGTTATTCATCATGGCGCTTTGCTCCTTGTCTCAAGTTTTAATGACTCTTTCATGTTGCGTATCAGCTGGCTTTCTTCGTCTCTGGGCGCCCTGTGGGTGGACGTAATGAGGCCCTGAGCTCGTGGGCGGGCTCGAGAGGGCAGAAAATAGCACATCATGTGAGAAATCAAAATAAGAGTGCCCGGTGATGAGGATGAGAGGAAAATTGATGATGACAGTCAATTCTCTACCCCTAAACACTAATTCAATTTGCTCTATAAAATCTCATATTAATTTTCTCGAGTGGTTATGTCATGATTGCCGATCCCGAGTGGACTGAGCACTTTTTCCACCCCACATCGAGGATTGTTTAGTCACCGACTGAGCGCACGTCAGCTATATAGAAATGTTTTATTCAACCACCCCAAGCACACCATGCGTATAGACAGGAAAGCCATGAATTTTGTATAGTAGAATGTTTGTTGTTTGTGGATACTATTGAATTCACTGCTCTCAGGCCTGTGTTCCAGCGCAAACCACCCACACTTCCTGGAGCAAGTCACACCGAGGCTCTCAGGGTGTTTTCACTCTCGCCTGTGCGGGGAAGAGTTTGTATACAAATTTGGAGTAAAATGATTTACGAGTTCCGCTCGGTACACATTTGCAGACAGATAGAGCTTTATTAAATGCCTGAGTTTTGCTTCTTGTTCTCCGCCCCCCCTGAAATGTCTTCTTCAGACCTCCTCGCCAGTCAATTACATTGTCAGTGTCGTCGTTCCCCAGGAAAAGCGTTTAATTTTGCAGCGGTGGAAAAATCGCGAACCCTTCGGCTGTTTCCCAGGAAGAAGAGCTCCTCTTTATCTAATAAAAAATTATACGTCGTTTCCATGAGATATTTTGTGTGACAAAATGTGCCACAATCGTGCGCATTTCACGATTGACAGATTTTCATGGGAAAGTTGAGAGAAAAACACAATCGGTGAAAACAGAAAAAGAGCCATATTATTTATTTTGCCTCTTTTCTCTAAAATTGGAATTTTAAACTCTTCTTTTATTTTATACAGCAGAAAAATGCTTTGCAAAGTGATGAAGTTGAGAATAACCAAAATTAGTAATCCAAATGCATAATCTGTTACTTAATTCTGCACGAAGTATTCCTTATGATAAAGATCCCTAAATGATATTTGAATTCCCGTTGTGACAATGCTTGCAAGAAGTTTGCAGACCAATTTAAATTCAATGTCAATTTGCAAGAAATTTTCAAATCCACTCTCGAACAAACTGACCGTCTTCGCCCAAAAGTTTATCTCCCAGCACGTGGGGATGAAGTCCTTCGAGGGTCATACCTCAAACTTGAAGTCAATATGGGAAACATGGAAAGTTGCTCGTGTTAGCTTTCTTCAACACTGCACGGAAGAAAAGTTATGAAGTGCTGAAATGTAGACACTTCTTTTCCATTTTCATCCCCACACAAATCATGTGAATGGCAATAATGAAAACACGGAGACTAGGGTGGAAAATTGATGTAAATGGACGAGGCTGTGTAAGTTCACAAATCACTTCCAGGGCGATCCATCTCTCGATGAGGCCTTGATCAAAAATTGATGAAGGATGATGGTGAGGTGGACAATTTTCCGCCATGGGGAGCTAAAGTGAAATTGAGCGATACTCCTTCTGCAGGTATGCTATCGAAAATTGATCAAAAGGTCTCCAACCCGCATCATCATGCCTTTGTGATTTGTGACGGTGAGAATTTCAGCTCCAGAGCAGCAATTGAGTGGGCAAAAATTGAATTTACTACAGTACAATCTATTGTATTGACACACTCGCTTCACTACATCTAGTCAAATGGGCCGCTTGATGGATCCCTAAATGCCGCCAGAGTGGTTTTCTTTGGGGATATCAAAGGTTTCAATTTGCTAATTGTGCCCAACCTCATCTCATGTCCACCAGTGATACACTCTCAATCCCCCCATTCAGTCACACATGGGAAATGAGATGGGATTGAGAGGACCACCCACAGTGAGACAAAAGGGAGATGAAGACACAAGTTTCACAAATAAATTTCCGCCCCGCAATTTCCATTTATCCAACTTTCAGCATAATGTATAGTTCTTGAATCTCAATTGAAAATCCAATTTGGAAGGTAAATTATGAATTTCACCGCCGCAGTTTCGCCACAAATCTCATTAACTAATGTCATTATCTAAAAACCATAAATAGTTTACTGCCACAGTTGAATTTATTCGCTCCACTCGCACTGATGATGAGCAAAACTACCCGCTGAGAGGTCATACACTCTCCACTGTGGCCGGAATCCAAATTAGAATTTATTAACTCCTACAAGATAACCCGAAGATAGTCATGAACCCTCTTCCCGGTCGTAAATTGAGAATGATCTCCTCATGAAGCGCCGCCGAAGAACGGCCCAAAAGGAGATGAGATATCTTTCGCCACTTGGGAATTGAATGGGGTCAAAGTCACCCCTCATCGAATATAATCCCCAATTTGCCACCGTATCCGTGTGAATTTACTTCTCGTGCATTTTCCACGGTTAAACACTCACGAAAAACCTTTTCATGATGCACTGTGTGTGGGCAATTAATCAATGTGAATTTCTCAAACTTCAAGTTCACACTTGATAGAGTTCTATCGTCATAATTGCGGGTAAATTGGCTTCACAAACTTTTCAACTCATATCCACAAACTTTTCAAAGAATGTCCATTAAAAATGAATTATGTGTAGGTTTTCAAACGGATCCTTATGAAAGCTTGTATTGAAACTTTCATTAAATGGTTAAGTAATCTTGACAAACAAGTGGAAAGAAGCCATAAGGAGCTTCTAAAGCTCACCACAGGACTTCAGAAGCTTAAGAAGTATTATACACTTTAACCACACCATCGCATTCCACTTGCAATCCACGAGAGCGAATTGAAGTGCCTCTGCTGGAAAATCTTTTGCTGGACTTCGTGACGAAACAACCCATTATGAAATATTTAGTGTGCTCTTGAGGTTTATTTTTGCCAACTTGCTCAAATTTCAGGCAATATTTCGCCCCGCTGAGCTTCCATTGTGTGCAAACAGATGCCATGCAGCACAATAGAGTGAAGTGGCACAGGACCAGCAAAGGGTTATGTTTGAAAAATTAATTATAGAAATTAGCATAGGGTTCTGGCTTATAGTGGGCGCCTCAGCAAATACTCTTTGATGTTGTGACACCCGTTTGGGTGCCTTTTGTTCTTCGGCGCAGCACTTCAGCCCCCAGCCCGTCTCGGCAGGAGTGTGGGCGCGGAAGTGGCGCGTTAGCAGGGTGTGTATATAATATGCAGGGATCAGAACGGTGGAATACAAATGGAACAAAATATATGCGAATTGGTGGGATATCGTGGAGGGTATTGAAATTCATGCTTCATACTTTATCATCCCCTGGGCGGAGGGTGGTTAAAAGCTCACAGGGCGCACCACCCAGAGTGTCGCTCAAATGCAGAGATGTTTTCTCCTCCAGAAAGTGTAAAAATATTGAATAATTGTCAAGCCGTAACCTTTTTAAACTCACCAAACATCCGTAATTGATTTAAATGCTAATAACAGAAATAACACGAATAGCTCCGCCCCTTTCAATGCCCCGCCCATTTTAAACTCATTATCACATTAAACCTCATTTTTCACGTGGTTTCAAATCTCTACGACCATACAATCTTGATAAGTGACCCCAAAAATGTTGATTTCATTGGAAAGCCACGGATGACAAAGCGTATTATAACAGTGACCCACATATTTATCATGAAAAGGTTAAAATTACTTTATCGATTTTTAATATAACCACGACGAATTGTATCTAAATTGGTCTCTGCTTTATTTAGCCTTTGCCAACAAGATGTATTTTAACAGATTCTCCATTACTTCACCCACTGAAGTTATTTAGAGACACGTTGACTGAGTAATGTTATTCAACAATGATGTAATTTGATCGATTCTGGTCAGAGATTAAGCAGGAATGGCTGAAGGCAATTCAGCTGCACGAGAAACTTTGAATGTCAGGCCTCAAGTGCTCAAGCAGGGGCAATCAATTGAAATTTCGGGACTGCTCTGCCAGACCATCTTGTCGATGGGGTGCAAAAGACAAAAATATCCATAAGTTTTGATGGTGAAATTTGAGACTTTCACTCCATGAATAAGAATAGCCTAATCAAAATTTCTCGCTTTTCAGTGCCATTCTTCGTTCATTGACTGTGTGGGTGGATTTGAGTGGCGAAAATCTCTTTGGGACGTGAATTTGGGTGGGATGAAAAGGTCAACACAGTGGACAATGTTGGGAAAATTATTCACTCTCCTGGCGGAAATTTATGCACTCCAATGGCATGGAAAATATTCAAGTTTTTCACATACTCTGCTAATTTTCGGCCACTTGTGAAAACTCACCATTGAGTGATCGTACGATGCTCGCTCGGAGAGCATAATCACTTGGTTCTCATTCACTCGCACGGATCTCTGCATCTTGGGGCTCAGCATTTAATCGGCGCACAGAGAAGAAGAGCGAAGATGGAAGATTTCTGCCTCTCGACACTTGGCCTCTAGCTGGAAATGTTGACTTTTATCCACACACACACACAGCGTGCGGAGTTTTCACGGGAACCAGGATTAATTGGCACGACGGCTGAAGCACGTAAGTTTCACATTGAGTTTCATCACTTTCATTCCGTCTGTTGACACTTCCAAAGCTCCCGATGTAATATCCATTTTCACGCACATCCTCGCAGCAGCACTGAAAGTTTCCCAAACCCCTGAGTATATTCAATTTGTGTCACTCCTTGCGGAATTTATGATATCGCAAATTCACTCTCTTCATAGCCACTCTCCGGCAGGTGAATGCGCAGCTCCTGGGACACTCCCACAGACCCTGGCGGGAAAATTCACAAGCGGTTGACGATGTGATGTATTTGTCCCTCAGGAAGTGTCACACTTCACCCTTCAATTCATCCACCGCAATTTCATCTCATTTGTCTCTGTCCCGCTCCTGAGCGTGCCCGTGAAAACCGCGTCAAGACCCAGTGTCAAAAGCGTCATTTGCGCCCGAAAGCCGCTGCCTAATGAGGAAAAATAGACAGGATGAAGCACCGTGAGGCGTGGGGATGTGAAGGAATTTAATTAACAATCCCACCCCCGTGCCATTTCTCATGCTGAAAGATATGACTTTTTAATGTGCTCATATCAGAGAACTCCAAACCGTGAGCCTGAATTATTCAAACAAATCATAACCGAGTGTGCTCAGTCGCCCAGGCGAGGACAACTGAGGCCCGCAATAAAGGTCTGGGTCACAGCGCCAGATGCACGAACAAATCCCACTTTTAATTCCCCTTTCTGCCTCTCCTAGCAAATTCCGCAGATGCCAGTAGTTTCGCATCGCCATTTGTTTAGGTAGAATGCAAGAAGATAACTTCTAGAACTGCTCTAGATTAATTGCAGTGCTGCAAGAAACTCGCAGAGACTTTTCATCGTCCTAATGAAATGTGTAGTTTTTGTCTCGTGCTTCTTACAAAAGTTTTAAATTGTCTTTCCCCAACATGAATGACGAAAATGTTCATCTTTCAACATTGTATGTCGTCCTACTTTTCTTTGTCTCTCAGCAGAGAGACTTTTCTTAACAGAATTGACTGGGAAACTTTTCCAGGGCAATTTAATCGAGAGTTTTCGAAAAGAAAATAAAAATAATGCTATACAGAAGTGCAAGGCATTCGACAGTATTCTGCTGTTTGCTTACACTATTGGCCAACATTATTTCTGCAAGCTCCGCCCATTTCCACGCTCCACCCATTTAAAAACACAACACCGTGTTTTCTGTCTTGAGTGTAAATTTAAGCTATAACTTCTGTCAACTTGCAAATTGGCATATTTTCTTTATTACTTAAAGTATCCCCTCATGCTGTTCTAGCATGGGTTAAGAAACAGAGTTACTAAGTAAGCTTCTGGCTAATGCTGGCCCAGTTTACCCTACACAAATATGCTTAAAACTGTTTAACTTTCTGTGGGTGGCGTAAAATCCACTGGCAACTCTGTTGCGCTATTACAAGCACAGAACTGGTATTATCACTGTTTTCTCTGCGCGATTTTCCTCAATCGAATTGCGGTGGTGCAGAAAACATTACAAACGCTCCAGAAAATTGAATTCAGGTCTTGTTTACCTGATTCAAAAAACCCACCCTCTCTCGCAAGCCCATAATTGGTCACAGCAACTCGATGCTTTGTAGAATTTAATTACATTTTTTAACCATCAGTGTTCATTAAGAGAAACAAAGGAAAATTTTGCATATCCAATTTCATGCTGTGTTCGGGGTTTTTTTTTTGAAAAAAGTTTTCCCGTAAACAAAAAGGTATTAATCAGTAACTTTAAAGTGCTGTTTGGAAAAGCTCTGATGGAAATTAGGGGATTTTTCCGTTATGTGTGCTTGAAAATCCACCTCAAATTGCACATTGGCCATTTTATGTGGGGAAATCACCCATAAATCCACACAAATTGCCACGATATTGCTGAAAGTTTCTACAATGATGAATTTATATTAACTGCCATCCGTGGACATTTTATGTCACGGAATGCGATGTTGGAATCAGGTATAAAATTTCCTCATTTTGTGGGAATTTAATGGGCGCAGTTGTGCTTAAGCTTTCGGTCCATTTGGTCAAATTGTAGAGAGAAGAGCTTTGTGAGTGGAACTCTTCAACTATTCAGTGTGTGTGTGATGTGATGAAGCATCGCCGCAAGAGCAGAAATTTCCCACGACATAATGGTCGATTATAGTGAATTTAATTAACTGCCGACAATGTCGATTGGCAGCAGTTCTGCGGGGATCGAAAAGCGACGTGCTCACCGAAGAGGCAGGGTGGACGAGTGGGTGGTAACTGAGACGTTCACCTTGACATCGTGTGCCAACAAATATACTTTCCCTGACGAGCATCTTCCCATTGTTTCTCTCCCTGGGAATTTTCCGCCAACATCGAGATCAGAGAAAATCCCTGCGAAGCTCGCAAACTTCCTCGTGCAATTTTCTCCTCAATTGCCAAGTTTTTTTTTCTCCTTCTTGTCTTCCTCGCAAAATCCTCACGAGAAGTGAAAGATGATGCCCAAAGACGATTGGCCAAATGCGCACTGCGAAATGTAATTAGGGGCCCCTGGAATGACTCTGTGCTCTCTTTTGGCTGAGGATCGGTGTGTATGTGTTCTATTAATAATTTCGGATCCACTCAGTCTGCGCTTGACTTTATGGACTGGAAAAAAGTTTTCCACCAATCAGCAGGAGACTCGCTCCTTCAATCCCTAATCTTCAGCCACTGACAAATCCCTCGAAGCACCTCAGCCATGGCATGAATACTATATGAGTCTCCATCAATTTTACACGGATTAATTTTCCTTCAAAAATCCTCCTCGCCGTCGGAGATTTGCGATCCTTGGGAAAGCTCTTTTTTGCCCAAGTGACGCCTGTTGCATCACCCACACGGCAAACTCCTCAAAAGTTCGCCTCCTTTCCCACACCTCGCACAACAAAGCGGGAATGATGAAAATTTAATGAGGGAGGATGAGACATTCACCTGCAGGCAAAGTCAACTCTTCACCCAGAGACTTGTGGGTCGCGAAGAGAGTGCAACTTGACAATTCTCCCCACTAATTCGCCACCACGCGCGTCACTTTGCCAAACAGCTCCTGGAGAAGCCACTCCGGAGCTCCAACACCGCCTGAGACACCAGAAAAAGTGAGTGTGACTGTACAGTGAATCGAACAGGTGGTCGAACTTCCGCTTTTTCCGTGTGAAACACTCAAAGGACGAACAGCGACTGAGGCGAGCTTCGGCGGCGAGCTTTGAACGTCACACACGCAGACAGACGAAGCTCGGGCGGGCGCGGGTGGTGGAGGGGAGCCTCGAATGCGCAACAAGAGATTTCCCATCATCCATCGCACCAACACAGCCACAGGCGGATTGCCAGCGAGGGTGGGCAGCGTACCTGTAGCATGCAAAGCGCGGTGGGTGGACAAAGCTCCTCATTTCGCCACACACACGATGGACGAAAGCTACACTCAAAGCTGCAAAGTAAACACACCATAATGTTGCTCTCTGCGTGTTATGTGAGCAAAAGAAGGGGCGGCCAGGCTGTGGGGCAGGTAGTGGTGCTCAGTGTGGCTTACACTGTTCGCCAAAACCGCCCTGATGGCGTTGAGGTGTATGAAATTTAGAAAATTGTCAATCTCACGCTTTCCTTTGGGCTTTGAGGAGATTTTGTGTAATTTTGTGCTGCAAATTTGCAGAAATAACACAGAGAGATATTTCGGTGAGGTTTCTATTTTATTTAAGTTATTATCTACTATTTACATTATTATATTTAAGTTAACTTATTTATTAATACTTGTCGGTGAAACCATTATTTTCACAGCCACTTGAGCCATTTTCTACACTTGAACTTGAAGTCTGATCTTGTCTACTCTCAGCTATACTGGAATCTCCGCAGGATTTCGACTGGATGTTGATGTTGGTGAGCTTTTGCGTGGAGAAGTGAATCTCGATATCTTCGAGAGAGCGATTTTCAGTCTCTGGCAGGAAGAAGTAGAAGAACAAGAAGCCCAGAATAGCCACAACGCCGTAAAGCCAATTGGCGCCGTCGAGCCCTAAACCACGTTCTAAATCAAGATAGGTTTTGGTGGAAATGAAGATGAATAGATAGTAGAGAGCAGCGACCAGACCAGCTGAAGTGGCGCGAGCTCTGCAAAAAGGGAGGATTTATGAGTATGAAATCAATAAAAGCTTCTCACAATTCATACTTGAAAGGGAAGAGTTCGCTGAGCAGCATCCAGGAGACTGGACTCAATCCTAAACTCATGATGAAGGAGAGCGTGAAGAATATCACCATGGGAAAGATTCCGTCGCCAGGAACTTCCGTGTGCTTTTCAAAGGAACTCCATCCAGCAGGAAGGACAATATTTGCGTAAGATCCAATGGCGATGCTGCAGAAAGCCGTTCCGGCCACTGAGATCAGGCTGAGAAGGCGTTTTCCCATCATCTTCACAACAGTAGCACAGACAATGGTGGCCAGAAACTTGAGAAGAGCAGTCACAACTGTTGCCCAGTTCGGATCGACAGGAATGCCGTAAGCTTTGAAGATTTGCACTAGATAAGGTCGCATGCTTGACGTGCCGCTGAATTGACTGAAGAGGAAGAACATCGCGACGATGAAGATGGGCTTTAGAGTTCTCTTCCTGATCAATTCCTTCATGTTATCGGAAAAAGTTGGTGGTGGATGATTGCAGATCTGGTCGCTCTTCTGGCAAGGATTGCATCTGGTGCTGTTGATGCTGTAGCGCTGCAGCTCGAGGAACTCCTTCTCGACCGCTTCAGGACAAACCCAGCCTCTGAGCCACTGCAGAGACTTTCTGGCCTCCTTGTCTCGTCCCCTGGAGAGCAGCCAGATGGGAGATTCCGGAATGAAACCAATGGCAATGATAGAAATTAGTGGGATTGTGAGACAAATGAGAGCAGATTCGCGCCAAGTGACTAGAGATCCCAGGAGATAGCCTATGAAGAAGCCCAGAGTGGCTGCGACTCCTGCGCAGGATGTCAGGATTCCTCTGATGGCTGGTTGACTGGAAATGAGAGAGATTAGCGACATTTCTCAATGGGTTACCGGGAAATTACCATATTTCTCCAACGTAGGTAAATATTGGAGAGTTCATGAATCCCGTTCCCAAGCCCAGGAGGATCGCCGCCAAGTACATTTCAGACACAGAAGTGGCGAAGTAGATCAGCAACCATGCTGCGATGTGTGGTAAATTGACCAGAATCATGGCATTCTTCCTGCCAATGGTTTCTGTCACCCATCCTGAGAACACACTCCCGATCGGAGTGCAAATAAATGCGAGACTGCCGAACCAGGAAGCTTCCTCGGGTGTGAAATGGAAGATCTCCTCTTCCTGGACATCCACTGTGCCCAGGAGAGGTGGAATGGCGATCGTTGGAAATGTTGTGGTCAATCCAATGTCAATAACTAAGAGATTCTTGGCTGTTGTGGCCAGAATTTGCGGCAAATACATTCGAAATTTGCTCACTTTGAGGCCATCCATATTCCACTCACGCACAGTAGTTTCACTGCAAATTCTATCTTTGATTAATTGCATAAAACATCAGAATTGTAGGATCATTGCCAAGGCCAAGTGCGAACACGTAACCAGAAGCAGAAGTACAAATATTGCACGCAATTCATGTGAAATCAATATGTTACTCGCAGATGTTCAGTTCAAAGACCTCTCTTCACTTTCACTGTGCATTAATGCGATAATAGAATTCAGTAAATCTCAAGAATGTGTTATTGATTCTGTCAGCAGCAGAAGGGTGATTGAAAAGTGCATGAAAGAAAAGCTCTGTATTGCACCAGAATGCAGATGATTTCTCATCTCGCACCGCGCAAAGTGTGAGAGTTCCCGCAGTGAAGCTAACATCATTGAGAGGAAGATTACAAATTATTAATATTCTGTACCCGGATTGCCTTCGAAATGAACTGAAACTTGTTCATTGACGAAGGTCTAGACAACAGGAATGTGAAAGCTAAGAAACTCTGCCGTAGAAAACCCATAAGTCATGAGAAAACATGGAAAACCCGCGATCTCTGAAAAATCCTTTCAATTAAAGTCAATGTTTGTTTTAGAAAACTCAATTTACGAGCTTAGTGAAATTGATAAAGGTCGATTTTTACTAAATCACATGTATTGCATGATCTAAATGAAGAAAACTTCACTAAATATTGGAAATGTTTAAAAATCATAGTTTTTCTCTGTGTAATAAATTATTTTTATCTGATTGTAAAATATCCAAAATAGTCAAAAGCATGCGATTTAAAAAAAATTCACTGAAACTCAAATTTTCTATGATTCTTAATAAATTTTCACATCTTTACTGTATAAATACAACCTTATATTAGTTGATTTTCAAGTTCAGGCTTGTCATCAATATAATTAATTCTTTTAATCTGAAAATATGCATCTATTTTTGCTCATTGAATTAGTGAAATATTGTTCAACATTAAATTTTCATCGCCACAATTGAATTGTCGTGTTTGAAACCCTTGCAAAAGTGAAATATGAGCTTCTAGGTTATCTTGTTCAATCGATGCATTTTTTGCGTATTCTAATTGCAAAATAATCCAGTGAAAATCAGTCTCATTCATAAGCATATCGTTGGCTTTAGCACCTTTTCTTCTATCTAGTGTGCTTTTATGGGCTTTTCAAGTGCAGTCTAAAGACGCAATATGCACAAATGAGACTGAGACACTTCTCTGATGTCTTTTTCAACCTTAAATAACGTCTGAAATCACGTTCACAATCAAATTCCACCGCTGACCACAATTTTAAGCTATTCACATTGGCGCTTTTCGCTGGAGTTCACATTTTTCCTTCCGCGCACTTCACATTCTTATCACTGAAGATGGTTCAGCAAATCTTGCCACAACTCCACTGAAGTTGTCACTAGACACACACCTTTCGGAACAATTTGATCAAACAATCATTCTGCACGACACAAGGAAGACAAGAGAACAAAGTTACGCGAGTTAAAGGCAAACACAGCTGGTGCTTCTCGTTGGAGATTTTCGCGAGCAATAAGACAAGCTCGAGAGCAGAGATGCAATTTATAGTTTGCCTCAAACAACCTTTGGATGTGCAGTTCTAACGTTTCTCGAAATGTTACTCATTGCGAGTCAATTAAGCTGAAATCTCGAAGGATTTCCACCTGATATTTCACCGCATTGACAGTTTGCAAGTTCAGTTACGCGGTCAATGTTCTCAACTGCGTTTTCTGTGCTTGTTTACCTTAAGTTTCACTGCGCGCTTACTTCACGCGTCAAGACCCGAAAATGTAATCACTTTTCCGCATATGAGTGGCTCTTAGTGTGTTTGGGGGCCAATGTCGAGCAATTTCCGCCACTTGTGCTATCAGAACTTTCACTCTCAATGGGAAAAGTTGGGCACTTTTGCACTCACCTCGCGTTAGATTGGATTCTTCATTATGGCAGCGCCACCAGGTAACACAACTTGGCTTATTAACTTCTTATTCGCCTGAGAAAATCAACATTGTGCCTAATATTTTCCCCATATTTACTCAATTGCTGGTATGGAAAGTTTGCTAGAGCCTTAGCGTCTCTTTTGGCGGGCAATTTTGACCGCCAAAAGCCGTATAACAGTTTTAGACCAATTCGACCAGTTTTGTCCCAAAAGATCACGCAATATATTTTTCAGTGTATTTGGCTGTCATAACAGAGTCTTCAGTGTTGTTTTGCTGTAGTTTTTCGTAGTTTTCCTGGAAAATACCCTCAATAGAGACTCCACAATCGCTCAAAACAGTTCCTTAATCGTCCGAGGAGTGAAATACAGTGCGGGATAGGATGAATATGCACGGAATGGCGCAGGCTGGAGTGGTTCCGAGCGGTGTCGGCGTGTCCCCAATCATGATGCAACAGGCTTCGCCCCAAATGGGGCAAATGATGGGCCCGCAAGGCCCTCAACAGCCTCCGCAGCCACCCATTGAGAAGATCGACAACATATCGAAGGCAAAGAGCCTCGTGGGGCCCCTGAGAGAGTCTCTTTCGGTACATTTTAAGGAATCTTTATCTGGATGATTCTGAGATTCTCTTTTGCAGGCAACCATCAAAGCTGCAGCCCAGAATCTTCATCACAACAACATGACTGACATCGGGACAATGTAAGAGACTCACCAGGAGCATCAAAAAGCTGAAGAATGGCACTAAAGTCTGGTTTATCTTGCAGAAAAGGCGATAATTCCGCTCCTCCGCGCTTCGATAAATACCTGGAGGAATTCTACTCGATCTGTGACCAGATTGAACTACACTTGGTAAGCCTTGAATATCTGAGAAATTTTCAATTCCTCATCCGGCTTTTGATTGTCCAATTCGTAAGAATTAACTCTTCTGGGCATCAGAAGTTGCCTTGATTTCTATTACGTGTGTTGAAGTCAAGTAATTTATGAAATCTCGTGAGAAATTCAACAATTTTGAGTGAATGATTGTCCTAAACTTTAATAACTCAATGAATTCCAGCTTCTTACCAAACTACTTCTCAATTATATCTCGAATGTCTTGTAGAAAACCTCAATCGCTTGCGTGCAGCAGAGCAACTCCAGCAATCACTTCCTGCCTCTGACTGTGGCCACGACGAGAGTGGATCCGATGCCGCATCCGCCGCCGGACAACCCAATGCTCTCCTACCCGCAATACCTCTCGACCGTGCGCTCGCAGATCGCGTACGCCAAGGAAATCCACGACACGCTCATCTGCGCCGCCCAAAACATCTCTCCGAGTGAATGATAATTATATTTGTCCATCAAAGTCATAGTTTTAAGGCTCGCATCATCGCTCGAATGCTCTATTATCACAGCCCAAGTTTTCAATCGTCACCGCAACACTGTTCTCAATCTTGCCATCGAATCGACTGTCGATCTTCGTGTCTTTCTGCGCCTCCGGGAGTTTCTGCTTGATGTCAATGTCTGCCAGGGATTTCCCTTTGGTGGAGAAGTGCAGTTCGATCTCCTCGAGCGTGCGATTCTCGGTCTCCGGGAGGTAAAAGTAGCCGAAGACGAGCGCCAGAGCGCCAACGGTGCCGTAGAGCCAGGCCGCGCCGTGCAGACCGAGGTTGTTCTCCACGTTGAGATAGGTTTTGGTGGTGAGAAAGGCCATGATGTAGTTGAGAGCGGCTGTGGTTCCGGTGGCGAAGCCTCGAGATCTACAGGAGAAGTCACAGTGATTTGCGATGGCAGAGAGAATGGGAGTTAGGACTCACTTGAAGGGGAACACCTCGCTGAGAAGCATCCAGGGAACGGCGGCGATGCCGAAGCCGGTGAAGAAGGAGATGACAAAGATGAGAATCATGGGAAATGTGCCCGTTCCGGCAACTGGAGACTCCATGTGCACATCGAACGAGCTCCAGTCTTTGGGGAGATTGCTGTAGGCGTGGAATCCGAGCGAGAGACATCCCAGCGAAGCTCCTGCCACGGAAATCAGGTAAACGCCTCGCTTTCCCAGCTTACGCACGAGCAAGAGCATCAGGATGTTCGAAATGATGCCCATCAGGCCGACAATCACCGTGCCGCGACTGCCATCGATGGGCGTTCCGTAGGCCTGGAAGATCTGCACCATGAACGGCCGCATGGACGCCAAGCCGGTGAAGTTGAGGAAGAAGAAGAGCATCATGACGATGGCGAAGGGCTTGAGCGTGCGGTGGCGAAAGAGTTCTTTGCCGCGCTGCAGGAGCGTCTCTGGCGGATGCGGACAAGGCACGCCGGTCTTCTGGCAGGCCGCGCACTTGTTGCTGTTGGCCGAGTACTGCTGCAGCTGGCGGAACTCCTCCTGCACCGTCTCGGGCGTCACCCAGCCGCGCAGCCACTGCAGCGACTGCTGCGCCTTGTCCACGCGCCCCTTCGAGAGCAGCCACAGCGGCGTCTCGGGCACGAAGCAGATGGCCACGAGGGTGGACAGAGGCACGGCCAGGCAGATCAGCGCGGCGACGCGCCACGTCACGACGGTGCCCAGAAAGTACACCGTGAAGATTCCCAGCATCACAGACACTCCGGCGCAGGAGGTCAGGATTCCCCGGATCGAAGGCTCTCTGGAAGGGCGAAAGAGTGAGTCAATTCTATACGGGAGAGCGGGGCATAATGAGTTCTGAGATAAATATCTTTATGTATCTTGAGACAATGATTCTGATCGATTTAATAAAGAATACTTTAAACTAAACCTCAAATGCGAAACGTTTTATATTGCACTCATTTGCAGTGATAAGAAAAATCTGAGAATTTTTATGCATGAAGTAATGAGATGACATGTTTAGAAATTGTGATGATTCTTTAGAAAGACATCAAAAGGGGAAACAATTTTACTGAAATAATGCATATTGTGGCTTTTAATTAATATTTAAATAAATTGCCAATAAAATGTGAAATGTTATTTGATTTAATACAGAAGAAACCACAATTAAAAATTGAAGTTATTAAACTTCTGTTCCTGACTGCAATTTCTCATAAAATTTGATAATTTTAAGCAACAATCGCTTATGAGTTTAAGACTATAATATTCCATCAGGAGAATATTTGCAGCTCATTTACTAAAATTATCATCATCGTTGTCGCGTCAGACTTGGTGAAAAAACACTTAATTTTTTTTTACTCAATTTCAGCATATCTATTTTATCTTCCTCAATTTACAACGACAAATAAAATGATGTTTTAGCAATAAATCCGGTCGAAAGCAGTTGAGAACTATAAGAACTTGTTGTGAAAGTTTGAAAATTATATTTTCTATCAATGCTAATCGACTTCTGAACTAGTTCGTGTAGTTAATTCACTTTAATCGGTGGTAGAATTCTAATTTAACTGAAGTAAAATGTTTTTTCTCATGTTTCACATGGCATAATAAGCAATTTCTCTCAATTCACACCTATTAAAAAGCTTAAAAATGAGGTTATTCTGATCTTACAATGAAGCTGATAATAAATATCTTGATCGAAACTTAGATTTGTATTATTACAAATAAACGTGACCTTATTTCACTCTCACGTGTATTCTAATCGAGCAATAAATATCTCTTAACATCTGTAGAAAACTCTGAGAAGAATTTTCGCTCATTTGCACACAACAGCATTTTCTCACTTTTCAAGAGAATTTCTTCCGGTCTGAATTCTGGTGATCAAATCCGCCCGATTTTCCCCTATTCGACTTGCAGTTGAGATGCAAATATTGATTGACAGCAATTGTTTGGCTATTGATTGTACGGGAGCGAGCGCTTCCTGTTGACTCATGCCTGGAGAACAGAGTCTATCTCTACTCACGATATCTCTCCCACGTAGGTGATAATCGGGGCCTCCATGAAGCCCACTCCCAGGCCCAGCAGAATGGCGGCCGTGTAGAGCTCGGCGAGGGAAGAGGCGTAGTAGAGCATGATCCAGGCGATGATGTGCGGGATGTTGACCAGGATCATGGACAGCTTCCTGCCCAGCGGCTCCGTGATCCATCCGGACAGGACGCTGCCCACGGGCTGGCAGACGAAGGCGATGGAGCCGAGCCAGGAAGCCTCGACTTCCGTCAGCGTCAGCGTTTCCGTCGCATCGACACTGTTGAGCGTCCCGCGCAGCGCCGGAATGACGATCGTGGGAAAGGCGACGCTGAGGCCGAGATCCAGCAGCAGGAAGTTCTTAGCCGTGCTGGCGAGGACTTGCGGTAAGTATCGTCGGAACTTGCTGATCTCTTGTCGGGGAGTTTTCGTGTTATTCACGTCATATGACGATTTTCCCATGTTTGTGCTCGTGTTGAACGCAGAGTTTAGAGTAAATTTTTGGGGTCAAGATCACGCTTCCATCGTCAGAAAATCTGCAGAAGGCATATTAATGAGCTTCATAAAAGAGTGTGATGAACGAAAGATTTGAATGCCTGGGAAGAGGGGAATTTCTTCGGCCTGAACGCCTTGAAATACTTGCCATCAAGTTTTGCCAATTAGTCAAATTTTCATGAATACATTCAATATTCGTTCAATACGCTTTTGACTTGAATGCAGAGAGTCGGGTTTTGTGCGCACTTGGAATTGTTGAGAAGTGTAATGAAAATGTCCCATTTTGTAGTTTAGATTGGCACGTTTTCAGCAGAAAATTGCCTCAATTTTCATCCCAATTTAATTGCTTCCGTCCTCTATTGTATTTTCAGCGCACTCACGTATGAAAATGACCAATTTGTTTGAATATTTGTCTTGTGTGTTCATTTGAAAATTTGAAATACAAATTAATTTTGGCTTTCCTAATAAACCACCACAATATATCTTTGTGCAGGTCACAAAACACCACGATTGATTAATTGATTTGCCCCCACTTTTGAGCATCTTTTGATGGCCTGTCGAAAGGAAAATTTCGTAATACATTTGACTTTGTTGATCTCTTCTTCGAAGGCAGTGTAAGAAAAGTTGATTTCGCAGATGCCTAGCAAAATCTACACCTGTGACCAATTGTTTAATAATCCCATTGTGGAATTGATGAATTGTGCCTCACCTGAAAAAGGTTCACAACGAGTGAATAGAGGGAGAAACACTCGCGATCGTTTAGATGCTTTCGAGCGACTGAAAAAGTGTGCTTTTTTGCCTTGAGCTTCGCGTATTGGATTTTTTATTTTGAGGGAAAAGAGGGAGAAATCTTGCAAGAGCGTTAAATTGGAGTTGAGTAAGAAGCACAACACTTGACTTCAATATTTGAGTGGCAAATGAGGGGATAATGTTTTTTTTTGGCGCCACTCGCGTTCACGGAAAGCAAAGCAGTGTTGCTCACTCTGAGAGCGTTCGATCGTGACTGGAGGTGGAAGCTCGGGATGCGATGCTCTGAGCGTCAATGCATAATCGTGTGGACAGGAAAGTTGTGTGATCTCGTGTGAGAGTTGCAAAATGTGACCTCAAGTGTGGGTTCACCAAAAATTCGCGCTGCACTTTCTACGCACACACACGCAATTTCCGCATTTTACCATCTGCACAGAATGCATTTTTCCGTGAAAATGTCTGCAAATCTCGCTATTCACCAGTAATGTTTTGATTTTTCCAAATCACCTTCGAAACTTCTTTCCAAACAACAATTTCGCCTTCAGGCGCTTTTTCTGAACAAGACGATCACCTGTGGTTATTTCACTTTTTACCGATCGTTCAATCGATGTTTTGCCAATTTGGACAGTTTTTAGAATAGCTAATTGCTTATTAAATATTATTTGTGCGTTCTAGGAATGCTTCTTTACCTCTGACAAGGCCAATAAGTGTGATCTATGATCAATTGATGAAACTCTGAGAACTGTTTGACTTTTTAGTGAAGCCCAATTAAACGGAACTTTAAGTACAACTAGTTTTGTCAGCGATGTTTTCAGTACTGAGAAGATTTCGGCGACTGGACAGCCAAATATAGCCCTTCATTATCATGATTTCAGACAGAGTGAAGGATTCGAGTAATCTCATCAATGTGAAAGCTTACTGGAATAGCGGAGAGGCGGTTCAATATGTCTAGTTTTCTCTTTTAAACATATTTTGTTTGGATACTTCTGTTCTAAGTATTAAACCACTGATTTTATGATCGGGATTATATTTTTAAATCAAAATTTAAAAAATATTTTTCTGATCATTTCATTTTAAATACTGTTTTTTATTTAATTACCAAAATCAGACCCTTTTATGACTATAATAAATTTTGTATATGAAATTTCTATCCAGATTTGCCTCATTTAATGGATTTGAACGAATGTTTTGAATTGAACTTGGCCAAGATGTGGATTTTATTAAAATGACATTTTGCACTTATGATTAATAAATTTTTAGCGATCGATTTTAACGTTGCATGCCCTGACTGTACATTCCTGAGGTCTGAGGTTCATTACTCTCCCAAATTCCATCTTATCTTACACCTGACTATTCCCTCTGTCCGGAAGCTATTGCTATCATTTCCCCGATTGCTCGGAAGGGCAACGATTGACTGATATTAACTGAGAATTAGATACTCAAATTCGTGTGACTTCACCGCGTCAGAAGCGCGTGTAAGTCAACAAATCGCTTATCAATTACAAAACCGTGAACCGTGCATTGATCGATTAACAACTGTTCAATTGGAGTCTTTTTCGCGTTGTCACTGGTCAAGTGACCTGTCGAAGGAGACGCAGTCAATTGCGCAATTTCACCTAATTATCGGCTGCTTTGCAATTGATCAGAAGGCTTCTGGTGTTGCGGAGCTGATCAGGGCCTCGCGAGTTGACTCTCGGCACAATTGTGGAGGTCGTTGAGCTTAGATGCACACAGCGCGCTTTGCGCGGCGACATTTGAGCATTTGCAATGCTAGTCAGGTTTCTAAATGTATAATAATTTTCTAGTTTAGCGTTTCGCACTTGAACTTGCGCGCTGTATTTCCGGTTTGGGCCGTTTCTCATCTCTAACACACAAATGCAAATATCTTAATACTTCGCGCTCTCGCGAATTGTCTATTTGAGGTCTCTTTTGTACAATGCAAAACTCAAGAGATTTCATTTATGCAAATTTCATACTCTTTCCTACAGCTTTTCGCTAAAAGCTTTGTTGTCACAGCCACTCAAGCCATTCTCTACACTTTGCTCTTGTTTCTTCTCAGCCTTGCTGTCGTCTTGAGAGGATTTTGTCAGGATGTTGATGTTGGTGAGCTTTTGCGTGGAGAAGTGGATCTCGATGTCCTCGAGGGAGCGATTTTCAGTCTCTGGCAAGAAGAAGTAGAAGAACATGAAGCCCAGAACAGCCACAACGCCATAGAACCAAATGCTTCCGTCCAGGCCGAGTCCTCGTTCGAGATTCAGGTAGGTTTTGGTGGATATGAAGATCATTATGTAGCAGAGAGCAGCGACAATTCCGGCCGAGGTGGCTCGAGCTCTGAAGAAGAGAGGAAAGAAGTGTTGAGATCGGGAATGTTGTGAATGAATGATTGTTACTTGAATGGGAAGACTTCACTGAGCAGCATCCAGGGAACTGGAATCATCCCGACGCTGGTGATGAAGGAGAGCGCGAAGAACATCACCATGGGGAAGATTCCGTCGCCAGGAACTTCCGTGTGCTTATCAAAGGAACTCCATCCAGCGGGAAGGACAATATTTGCGTAGAATCCAATGGCGATGCAGCAGAAAGCTGTTCCTGCGATTGACCAAAGCGAAATGAGGCGCTTCCCGATGAACTTCACGCCAACCGTGCAGACAATGTTGGCCAGGAACTTCATCAGCCCAGTGACAACTGTAGCCCACTTGGGATTCACAGGAGCGCCGTAAGCTTGGAAGATCTGCACGAGATACGGTCGCATTCCCGCCATGCCGCTGAATTGGCAGAAGAAGAAGAACATCGTGACAATGAACATGGGCTTCAGAGTTCTCTTCCTGATCAGCTCTTTCATCTTATCGGGAAGCTTCGGTGGCGGATGATTGCAGATCTGGTCGCTCTTCTGGCAAGGATTGCACCTGCTGCTGTTGATGCTGTAGCGCTGCAGCTCGAGGAACTCCTTCTCGACCTCTTCAGGACCAACCCAGCCTCTGAGCCACTGCAAAGACTTCCTGGCCTCTTTGTCTCGTCCTCTGGAGAGCAGCCAGAGAGGAGTTTCGGGGACAAAGAATATCGCAATGACTGTGAAAATTGGAATGCTGAGGCAAATCAGGGCGACTTCGCGCCAAGTGACCAGGGATCCCAGGAGATAGCCAACGAAGAAGCCCAGAGTGGCTGCGACTCCTGCGCAGGATGTCAGGATTCCTCTGATGGCTGGTTGACTGGAAAAGGGCGACAGTTATTGAAAGTTTTCAACTGATAGAGAAGCAATTACCAAATCTCTCCGACATAAGTCACCACAGGAGCTTCCATGAATCCCGTTCCCAAGCCCAGGAGGATCGCTGCCAAGTACATCTGAGGCACAGACGTGGCGTAGTGCAGCAGGATCCAGGCTGCGATGTGCGGGAGATTCACGATTATCATGGCGTTCTTCCTGCCAATGGGTTCAGTCACCCATCCGGACAGGATGCTGCCGATCGGGGTGCAGATGAAGGCAAGACTGCCGAACCAGGAAGCTTCCTCGGGTGTGAAGTGGAAGATCTCCTCTTCCTGACCATCAACAGTGCCCAGGAGAGGCGGAATGGCGATCGTGGGAAAGGCAACAGCCAAACCGATGTCCAGGATCAGGAGATTCTTGGCTGTGCTGGCCAGAATCTGCGGCAAGTACATCCGGAACTTACTCACCGCTTTTCCCTCCATCTTGACACCCGTTAAATTGCCTCTCGAGGCAAATTGCACTGCAATTTTCAAGCAGTGATACTGTTGATTACCATAGGAAGATATCACAGATTGTGCACAATGTTTGTGTCCGTTGGAAGGGTATTTTGTCACCGTATCTCACGCAATCTCTGGCTCTGTTTTTCGTGTAATTTTCATAAATTACTGTTAAGTCACTCCTGTTTCCTCTGTCGCCAACTCATGTGTATTTGTGTTGTGGAATGTCTAGGAAAAAAATGCCAGCAAATTGATGTTTGCATTAAAATAACACAGATAGTTTTTATCAAATATCAACAATGTCTTAATAGTCATTCTTTAACCCTTCAGTAATGAGAATAGCAATTTTTCAGTGTTGGGTTAGCCATTGACGTAGAAATATTGCTTCAAAACTCACGTTTTTACTTTGGATTTATGCATTTTTGATGGGAATAATTGATAAACAAGAGTAAACTTTGTAAAGCTTGTTATTGAGAACTTAATGGTTGAGTAAGTTTGATATCAAGCTTTGATATTTTATATTTCAAAATCATCACTACTAAATGAGGAACAACATAATGAAGAAATTGACTACTAGAACTTGGTTTTTAATCAATTTCTGATACTTGAGGAGTTAAAATCGGTTGATTAGTAAAACCGGCATAAAGTCTAATTGAAAAGTCTCTTAATGCGACTACGCTAATGCTGAGAACATAATAACTGCTGTCGATTATGAGTGTGTTTATGAATTTCAAGAGAGATTTTCAAAGGTTTGCTGTGAGCAAATACAAGAATGGCAGCAATAGTGAAATTGTAAAGTGCACTTTCATCGTTATTTTGTACTATTTTGTATATGAAAACGCGACTGTATTTGTCTCAAGAATACAAAACAATTATGGATCAATGATAAAGTATGATATGCAAATATATTTTCACGTGCTATTATCATGAAAGTCACCACAATTATTAACGACTATGACCTTCCCTTGTCAGTCTGATTACTTTAGAGCTTTAGAGATCATTCTTCCGAATTCTCCATTGATCAGCAGAGGCAAACATTTGTCGTAAAACAAACTGAGATCACGTTTTATTGGAATTCCTTGAAAAATGAGTGAATTTCTCTGAAATGTCACCAGAATGTCGTGTGCATTTTGAATTAATTCCATGAAAGGTTGCAATTCCATTCAAGGGATGAACAGGAAATTGATGGCCATTGAAAATTGTCATATGATCGATTCACCATTTAAGTTCTACAATGATATATTTTTGTGTATGGCTTGCAAATGAGGTAACAAAAATGATTTGCTAATAATGTTTTCCTCTTTCATATCGAATTTTTATCGAAGTGAGACGACAATGAAAACACAATTGCGTGGAGCATTGCGAATTGGGATTGTTATCGAATTTTTCAAGTGCTCGATGTAAAATAAACAACAATGAGACTTTTCCGGTGAATTTTTGTGCCACTGCACATTTAAGGCAACACTTCACAAAGTAGGCTGAAAAGGAATTTTCGTCTAATATACTTTTGTAAATCACACTTTATGTTGGCGAGAAGAGTCGTTGGCCAATTAGATGAATTTACGTAAAGATCACTCTGGAGGAATTGTGCTAAGTGACTGCTGACCACTCAATTCGAGTGATTGGAGCGTTTTGCGACTCCGCGCGCACTTGAAAGTCGGCTGAAGACTGGCCAGAATCGGCCGGGCTGCAAGCGAAGCGCTGCAAATACGAAATCCCACCACGATTGATCGCGAGAGAGGCGATGGCGCAGGTGGGAGAGATCGGCGGGCATTCAAAAGAGATGATGAGACTCTCAAATCACTTTCTGTGCCACACGATCGCCTTCACGAGGATTTGGAAGTGTGACGGTGGGAATCACTCCCATTTGAGATCGATGCGCTGGCGCGAAGGCCGCGTGAGTTTCAACTGCAGTCGCTGGGAAAGTGATCAGGCAGACTCGCCGACTGGCACACATTCACACCAATATTATGCATAATCTGCGCAACTTGCGCTGAGTTGATGGATTGCGTGACGAGAAAGCTTCATCTCGAATACGTCAAGAGCAGATGATCAGTGTTGTTTCCTCCCGCTGCGATTTGTTTTGTGAGTTTTGTGGGTGACAAAACGTGGGCTTTTCTCTAAGATTTTCGCTGAATCTCATGTTTTTGAAGACAAAGAAATTTCAGTGGGCGGAGCTAAAGTGTGGGCGGGATGAATTTCAACGTCTCGCTTGGAAGTAACATTTTAAAAACCGAAAAAAACTCTTCAAGATTATATTCAAGCAAGATTATTTAGGATCCAGAATTGAATTCAGAAGCCAATGGGCGGAGCTTTCGAGTAGGCGTGGCGGTTATGAAAATCCTCTGTGAAATTCAGCAGTTTAGTGAAATGGAATAGTGTGCAGAATGATTCACAACACTAAGAAATAGTCACAGCGTATCAAACAAGATTTATTGACTGTAAGATTGAAGCTTAATTAACATGAAATCTGCACAAATTGAATCTGGGTTCATTGAAGTTTAGATCAAGGATATCAACACTCCGTTATGATTCTAGAGAGTGCACAGAAATTATTTTTAGCTCTTAATTTCTATCACAACACTATTGATCTTTCCTACAATTAGTGTCAGTGACTTGTAGGGCAAATAATCTCACAAATATGATTGACAGATTTTACACAACTTGCATTATGTAATGTTGCTGCAAATCATCTGGGCAAATAGATGAAAATGTGCACTTAAATATTGACACACGAGATCTCAAGGTGTTCTTTTTGGCTCTTTCAGCGGCACATCTTCGTCTGCGGAATGCTTGAGTGTCTTCTTGATGTGGATGTTCGTGATCTTCTGGGTGCAGAAGTGGCGCTCGATGTCTTCCAGAGAGCGATCCTCGGTCTCGGGCAGCAGGAAGAGGTGGAAGATGAAGGCAGCGGCGCCGATGGAGGCGTAGAGCCAGATGACGCCGTGGAAAGAGAGGCCGCGCTCGAGGTTGAGGTAGGTCTTGGAGGCCACGAAGACCAGAAGGTAGTTGATGGCGGCCGAGATGCCGCTGGTGAGTCCTCGCGAGCGGAACGGCAGGATTTCGCTGAGCAGAACCCACGGCAGAGGCGCAATGCCGAAGCTGGTGAGGAAGGAGAGGACGAAGAAGCCGACCAGAGGGTAAATCCCTGAGGGATTCTCCACTCTCGGGTGCTGATCGAAGGAACTGAGGCCTGGCGGAAGCATGAAGAATGCGTAGAAGCCAATGCAGAGGCAGGAAATCGCCACTCCGGCCGATGAGATGAGCGTTATTCGACGCTTTCCCAGAAACTTCACGGAGATCATGCAGCAAATGTTGCCAGAGAGCTTCAGCAGTCCCACGACGAATGTGGCCCAGTTTGGATCCACGGGAACTTGATAAGTGTGAAAGATTTGCACGAAATACGGTCGCATTCCCGCCAAGCCGCTCATTTGCGTGAAGACGAAGAACATGGTGACGATGAAGAAGGGCTTCAGTGTGGGTTTGCTCCACAAATCCTTCAAGTACTCCTGCTTTTCCTCCTTCACAGCGTGGAAATCGCGCAGTTGCTGGAACTCCTCCTGGACGTTTTGACGTGGAACCCAGCCTCTGAGCCACTGAAGCGATCGCAAGGCTTCTTCCTCGCGCTGGCGAGAGATCAGCCAGATTGGCGAGTCGGGAAGGAAGAGAATCGCCAGGATGGTGAGGATGGGCGTCGAGAAGCACACCAATGCCGCCGTGCGCCACGTTGTCACGGATCCCATGAAGTAAACGATCGAATAGCCAAGAGTCGTTGCGACTCCGGTTGTTGCAGTCAGAATTCCCCTGATGGACGGTTGGCTGGAAGACAAGACGAGAGGAGAAGATAGGTAAATATATCTTAGTTAACTTCTTGGCAGTCTCACCAGATCTCTCCTATGTAACTGATTACAGGAGTCTCCATGAATCCCACGCCGAGCCCGAGGATCACGGCTGCAGCGTACATTTCGGCCACCGAGGAGGCGAAGTGCAGCAGAAGCCAGGCGACGATGTGAGGGAAGTTGACGAGGATCATCGTCTTCTTTCTGCCCACGCGCTCAGTCACCCATCCGGACAGGATGCAGCCGATGGGCTGGCAAATGAAGGCCAGACTTCCGAACCAAGAGGCTTCAACGTCAGTGAATGTGAGCCTCTCTTCGCCACGTCTCTCCGGATCGCTGCCTTGGAGGATCGGCAGGACGATGGAGGGAAAGACGATGGACATGCCGATGTCCATGAGAATGAGATTCTTCGCCACACAAGCTAGAATTTGCGGCAGAATCGTCCGGAATTGGCTCACTTTGGTGGTCTTCATCTTGTCACACTCTCAACACCTTTCGCTACTGATTTACATAATAATTGCCATGCAAAAAAAAGCACAAGTTGTCGAACAGAGCCAGCGTTTAGGACTGGCTAAAGCACAAACAAGAGCACTAGAATTCAATGCAAATCATCGCGAGGAAACGTACAGAGTGAAGAATAGCGCCGGATTTGGCTGCAGCGCAGCAAAAAGTTATCTAATCTGCTTCCCCGAAAATACTACTTTGGAATACGCTTGAGTTTCAACTTCATTGACTCTCGAAGTGGAAATGAATAAATACACTTTCTATTTATAGTGGCGGATTCCCTCTCTGTACTCACAAGCAATTATTATTCAATAGAGAGTGACAAAATGTGGAAATGAGAAGAGGTAAAGCATAAACGGCTGTGTTCCAATGATAACGCGACGCAATTCTTGCTTGTATTGATGGCTTTTCAGTGTTTGCCGTGTTTGTGGCTTATTGTCGGCACGCGATTTGGGAATGAATATGGGATAAATGAGAGGAAATTGAGAGTTTGGGTGGCAATTTGTAGATGGGAAGAAGAGTGCCTCATTTGATGGATTCCACGCTGAGAAGACTATAAATACAGGGAAAGCAGGGGAAATTCTCAGTGGAAATGTGAACTCCTTAGAAGCACGTGTCGACTTCCCGCGCAAATTCCCCACTAATGTTCTACGTATAACAGTTGTCCCACCGATTATTTCCCCTCTTCGATTAGGGTTTTGGACAAATCTTACGTAACGTGTTGAATATTTGTGAGTTTTGGAATTTTCTTCACATCATTTACTGCATCAAATTAGTAAATCCCCTTATATAATATAGCAAATTATTATTCTGAGTGTCTGTGAAACTTTCAAGACGTCGCGGAACATAGAATCTCCCCTCCACACCACGTGGGACATGACAGCTGCTTTGGGACAGTCATCAGTGCGTGCTTTTCAGTGAGTTCGCGAGTGCTGTGAATCGCGTTAATTTATTTCAATTCCGATGCCCGTTCAGAGTTGATTCTCCGCGCCAGTTGCAAGTTGCAGAGTCGTGAAAAAGCGTGAAGCCGTGAAAGTGCCGCTGTGGGTGAAATGGCAGTGTATTTCATAGCCAAAAACCGACTGTGAGTTTCTGCAGCCTTGCGTCTTTTGTTTTCCTCTTCGCTTTTCTCCAGAGCATTTTTTTCCACATGATGAACTCTCTTTGTGCGCTGCACTTTGCCCATGGATTGCATTTGCGGCTCGAGTGGCTGCTCAGTGGCGAGAGTGCCCTTCCTTGTCCGACCGCCAAGCCCTTCCGGCCGCGGGGCGCTTCTGGGGCGTCGCGAGAGGGCCGAAGACAGCCCGGAAAGAGCTGCACGCCGGGATCCAATTGCTCCACTCACGGCCAATTGATTCCAATTCAAGCCATTAAGAATGGCGGGAATAAATCGCCGCAATGAAGATTCATTGGGCTTTTCTCGCGAATTTTCTCCTCGGAAATATCAGCAATTCCTTCCTCGCCTTGGTCACATTGTCGACCACTTTCCTGCCTTCCTTGTGCCATTAATTACACCGCGAAGATTGATGACGCCCAAAGATGACACGCCACTTAAGCAATTTGTGGAATTTTCTTCGTCTCTGCAGCTTCTTCATTGATAAAATTGCTCAGCTTATCAACGTGGGCAAAAAAGTCCCAATTGGAAACATTTTCTGCCCCTCAAGATTACACTTCGCGCCTTCGCCCGGAATATTTTGCTGCCTTTGCTGGGAAGATGGGTCAAGTTGGCACTTTTTGCACTCTCCTTATCTCATTGTTGTTGCTGTTTTTCCTCAAATTCATTGAACTTTTTTCTTTCGCCGGCTTCTGTGGGAATGTAGAAGCAATGAGGAGTTTATCTTATCGGACAGATGTATCAAATTTCCATGCAATAAATGTTAGAATTAGTTTGTTACATAAAAAGTGCGATATTTTGGCACTTTTTTGTGACAAAATAACGGAAAACGACGAATAAATTCATTCATAATTGCTCTGTGTACAATAAATATTCAAATAATTAGAAATTTATTATGAAATTAGCATTAGATTTCGCTAATCGAAAGAAAATTAGTTTTATTTCACTTCGAAAGGGCTTTTTCTTAATGTAAAACAACATTAAGACTGTCAGGAAGCAAGAATTCGGTTTAATCTGCTCAGATTTGTGCTCTCTTTGGCAGCAAGTCTGCACATTATTGTGTTTTCGTCGCGTTTGCTAACATTTGGCTTTCTTTTGCCGCAGGATCAAAGGCGTGAACGTCCAGCAACTGCCCAACAAATGGTCGCCGCGATGGACAGCCATCGTGCGCCGATCGTCGTCGGCGAAGCAGCCGGCGCAGCCGTCGGAAGGCGGCGGAGGGTCGCGAAAAGGTAAATTGAGTAAGATAAAGAGGCGGCTCCGCAGGGGCTGGAGCTGGAAGGCGGGCGCGGGTTGGACAATATTGTCAGTCTTGGATTGGTGGTTGTTGGCAGCTGGAGGCTGGATGACGTGGCACGGCGTCCTGCTGCGCTGGGCGCCCATCGGCCTCTGCCTGGCGGCGGCGGTCCAGTGGCACATGCAAAGCAAGGAGTTGGCCAGGCGAGGCATGCACCGCACGGCGTCGCAGTGGCAGGTGAGTTCCGGACTGCCCAATCCGCCTGATTCCTCACACACACGGTTGTCCTCTTCGCAGACGAACGTCTACTGCTCGTTGCCGCTCAGGATCTTCAGCCGGTGCTGGGGCTGGATGGCGGAGCGCCGCGTCCCGATTCCGCTCCGTCCGACCGTCTTTGGAGCCTATTCCACGGCGTTCGGCGTGAATTTGGACGAGGCGGAAGTGCCAGATTTGAAGTAGGTGTTAAATTGACTCTCAACTTAATTTGTACACTCGAAATTCCCACTCGAATTTCGCTAGATTTTGATTCTCTCTCCATTTAGCCTGGGCTAATGAAGCACAATGTTTAGGTAAAAGAAAAACGAGACACAGTCGTCACGAAACCTGTGCAGATACTTTTTTTTTTCTCTCTCTTATACAAATAGCCGTCGAGGGAGGAGTCATTTGCATTCTTTCCAGAGCAGAGTGGAATTGAAGAATGTGAGACTTTCTTATCAAACAAAGAGCGAGATTGTGGGCTGAATATCAGCGATTGAATGCGAGAACTTGCAAAAGTGTATTATAATGCTCATTGATAGTTCGTTGTCCTCAAAAAGCCATCCAGAAACTCTTCTTGAAAGTGTTGAGGAATTGGGAAAAGGCTTTTTGGTCAGTAAGACATGACCAAATTTTATTTCTACTAACCAGTGTTCAGAAATAAGTGTATAATTCCGTGATGTCAATTGGAAGATCTCCAATTGATTCAATTTATGCGTGATCTTGTCGCAATTAACTGAGCTTCTCATCTCTGGTTCATTGGAAAAATACTATGAAATTTCGAAAGAATGGAAAGAATCCACTCACTGAATGTTTACTCGCATTCACCCGGATTTTCGGGGGTCATTGGGGTGCCGTAAACATGAAAACACACCACAAAAGACTCAAGTGACTCCCCTTCTCGACAATTGGCTACTCTTCGGTGGTGGTTTGCTAATGAATTTGTGTTGGAATTCCTCCTAAAACAGTAGATTCGCTGGTTTTCCTTATTAATCTGTGTGCTTTTCCTATCTCTGGGCATTGGGATATAAGATAAACACCTTAGTCGCGTTCTGATGAGTTTCTCTGTGCGCTCCTTAGGTCCTACCGCAGCCTGTCGGAGTTCTTTACGCGCTCGCTGAAGCCCGAGTGTCGCTCGGTGGACTCGCAGGCGTGCATTGTGTCGCCGGCGGACGGGAAGGTGCTGTACTTCGGGCCGGCGACGGACGCGCACATTGAGCAGGTGAAGGGCGTGTCGTACAGTCTGGAGGCCTTCCTGGGGCCACCAACGTGGCGCCGCGACGCGCAAGCGGCGGCGTTTCCGCAGTGCTGCCAGCACGCCGAGGAGAGCGCATTGTATCAATGCATCATCTACTTAGCGCCCGGCGACTACCATCGCTTCCACTCGCCCGCGATGTGGCGGCCGGAGGTGCGGCGGCACTTCGCCGGCGAGCTGCTGTCCGTGAGCCCCAAGATTGCACAGTGGCTGCCCGGGCTGTTCTGCCTGAACGAGCGCGCGCTGTACATCGGCCAGTGGCAGCACGGATTCTTCTCCTTCACCGCCGTCGGTGAGTATCGCCAGATGTGCAGAGGAAAAAGCTATCCGGGTCAAAAACACTTTATCTGCGGAGCGCGTTGCGTCATGTCGGATGAGAAATTTTCGACTGATAAGAGAAGCCGGATCTTATCGGCTCATTGATTTTGCGTGACACTCTCTCCCTCGTAAGGTCGGCCAGGGTTGCGATGCTGATTAACAGATGCGAAGTGTGGGCTTTATTTTTATGTAAGGCTGAGAATGTTGTGTACTTTTCGGTCAATGTGAGAAGATTGATAACGCCCTAACATGCTGAATGAGTTGAATAGTAATGAGAGAAAATCGCCTAATAGATTCACTAGCTATACATATTGAAGTGTGTCACACTTAGAATAGAACAAAGTATATTTGCATTGTATTTCCAAAACGATTTTTAAGCTGCAATTTTCGATGCGAGTGCATGAATTTATCGGATTAGTTGAATGTTCTTCAATTGTAGAACGACGCGACAGCAATTTGTTGATCAATAAGCGACGAAAGTGATTCTCAAATGCTATCAATTTCACATTTGATTGCAGAACTTGAAGTTCAAACTTCCTTGACCGCGCTCTTAAATTCATTTGCAGCTGAGAAATTGCAGCGAAAGCGAACAAAAGTGACTCAGAGTCCACGTGAGATTGTTGGAAAAATTGGCACGTGAAGTTTGTTTGTCTCTGCATTGAGAAACGTGAGGTTTTTCCGCCGCGAAGGCCAATGAAATTTGTGCAAAAATAGCCAAAGAAGCGCGAGAAAGGCAAGTGGCCGCGCGTATCGTACGATTTCTGTTAAATTGATTGACCGCTTCGCGACACTGCCCGTAAATAGATGAAGACGAGTTGGGGAAATTGGGATGAATTGGAGTTTAAGTGAATTGCTGCGCGGCTCAATTGGCGTTCGCGCGGCCGCGTGTTCCGGAGGCGCGAGAAGAGCGTGACTAATGAATTGTGTGCTTTGCAGGGGCCACGAATGTTGGGTCTGTGCAGATCTACTTGGACGAGAGGCTGAAGACGAACCGGTGGATCGGACTGGAGGTGGGCACGCACAAGGGGAACGACTTCGACGAGGTGCCGCTGCCCGGCGGCACGACGCTGCAGAAGGGCGAGCTTCTGGGGCAGTTCAACATGGGCAGCACGATCGTGCTGATCTTCGAGGCGCCCAAGAGCTTCAAGTTCTCCATCCAGGCGGGCCAGAAGATCCGCGTGGGCGAGAAGCTGGGCTGCCTGGAGGAGGCAGTGGCGGCGTCCTGATGGCGCGCGTCCAAAGAGTACAACGATGTGCAAGAGAGACAAGATTCTGCGATTATCTTCTCAGAAGCCAGACTAGCGACTAAGGTAGACGTAGATAGGCGTACGATAGGATTCAATCTGTGAATTTATTAAGTATAAACTCGTGTATAAACCTTGTAAAGCTTTATATTAGAGAGATTGAGAATTGTTCCAAATAAAAGAGAGAGATTTGAATTTTTAACGGTGGGTGAAACATAGAATTGCGGTGTTGCCAAGTTGCGATCTTCGATGGTTTTCGCTATGTTCTGAAAGTCCTGTGAAACGCGAAGAAAAGCTTGAGGAAAAATGGTTAAAAGTGAGTTAATCTCTGCATGAAGTAATCAGGATAAGCAGAAATCGACTCAAGAGGTTCTTTTGCAAGGTATTTCACTGAAATTCACTGAATTTTCTTGTACTTCATAAAGGCTTAACAAACACTCTGAAAGTCCTGGAGAGGAATCCGTGAATATTTCCTCCTTTGCACCTGTAAATTCCCGAATCCTGCATCCTGGCTGGGAAGATTCTCAGCACATCCTTCTTCTGCGCAATTTCCTGTCCGTCCTGCAATATTTTCAAACATTAGAAGAGAATCCCGCCTAGAAATCTCACCTAACCTTAAACCAGGAAACACCCGGAACAGGAGCGCCAAATGTCGCGCAATCCAGGATGATCTCCTGTCCCATGCGCACAGCCACATTCCTGTTGACCTCAGACCGTTGGAAAATGGGTATTTGACCCTCCTTGAAGATGTGAAACATCTTCTCCGTGTGGCCGAATTGATTAGTGGCGAAGCAGGAGAAAAAGGTGGAATTCCTGTTCTTGGGAGCGCGAATCCTGATGCTCTGGGATGTATGCTTGAGACGCTTTGAGTCCCTGCGATACCAGCAAATCTTGGGCTGTGGCTTCCCGGAAACTGGGCAGTTGAGAGTGATCTTCTTATTCAAGGGTGCAACGAGATGTTCCACGAAACTCTCCAATGTCTTGTCGTATTTGCTGATGTCCAGGAGTTTAGGAGGCTCTCCTGACTTCAGGAAGAACCTCATTCCCTTCTCGCCGTGAGAATTCTTAGACATGCACTGATATTCTCCCAAATGATAAGCCTTCACTGACAAAATACGCAGTTTCTGACCAGCTTCCTCGTAAAGAACTCCATTCTTCGCTCCTTTGGGAGTTGTCCAGGAAACTTCCGGCAGAGGATCTCCCTCAAAGGGACAGTTGAGAGCGAAAGCACTTCCTGGGAGTGCAAAATTGTCCGAATTATTAGCCAATAACTGCCTTTCTGGGACGAGAGTTGGAGGATGTCCGAAAGAGAGGGTTTTATTCGACACTGGAGGAGAATTTCCCACTTCGCACACGAAATTTCCCGTCCTTCGCAGTCCTGGCGCTGCAGTGGGAATCACCAGAGCGAAGGCATAGTCATTCCTCCGCTTCTTCAGCATCCCATAGAACTTCCCGGGAAGCCGCACGAAATCCTTCTTGGGATAGAGTTTCCCTGCCTGAACGATACTCCACTCTCTCTCCATGTCAGGCAGATTTTCAGGCACGTTCACAGAGAGGATCTTGTGATGATCCATCTTCCAGGAAAGCTTCATCGGCGGTCTGGCTGTGACGAAGCACCAAATCACTGCCTCGTTCCTCCGATTGCTCCCTCTCACGTGAGTCACTTGGTGATGAGCCAGGCTCAGGCAGAGGCTGAGGAGGAGGATAAGAGTGCGCAGGAGAGACATTCTGGTAAATGTGGCGTCAGAGCGCGAGAAAGTAAACTAATCCCGGATGTTTCAATGTCGTGATCTCACCCAGAACTGGGCTAGTGGGAGCAAAAGTTCTCTTATCGCGCCTTCGTCATGGAATTCCTAGTTTTTCTCTGTTTTCTTCGCATTAGTTTGTGATTCTTCGGCACGTCTGCGTGCGATTAGAGAAAGAGAGAGAGAGAGAGAGATTATTCGGTCACTGTGCCGTGCTTATGTTGTAAAATGTGCGTTTCATTCAGACTTAATTATATAGTAAATATCTTTTATTTAAGATCTCCAATCACAGTTCGTGACAATAAGAAATGTGGAAATTACACAGAAGAGAGTTAATGGACAAGGGATAAAGGGATTAGGCTTCTTTGCAGGTCCTCTTGTTGCTGTCCAAGATCATTCCTTTAGGGCATCGGCATTCATAAGCGCCTCTAGTGTTCACACATTCGTGCGAGCACTCGTGAGTGCCTCGCGTGCACTCATTGATGTCCAGACACTTCTTCTTGAATCTGTGCGTGGCGAAGCCCGCGGGGCAGAGGCACTCGTACGATCCCATCGTGTTCACGCAGATCTGCCTCTTCGTGCAGTCGTTGAAGTATTCTCCAGAGCACTCGTCGATGTCCTCGCACGCGCCCGTGGCGTTGTTCATCGTGAATCCCACCTCGCAGGCCATCTGGTTCTCCGGGCAGGGCATCTCGTTGCATGGCTCCCGTTCTGTGTCCTCTCCAGTGCAGGGTTTGGTCCTGGGATCGCGGCAGCGTCGCGTGCGAATCTTCACGCCGTCGCCGCAAGTCACAGAGCACGGCGACCAGTCGCCGAAAGGCATCCATTCGCTGTCGCAATCATCATCACAGGGACGCATCTGGACCGCCTCGCCAGGACACTGACTCCTGTCGCCGGGCGCCACCAAGGAGCCGTTGTTGTACTGGCAGAATCTGTTGCGGAACTGCACCTTGGCGCGGCAATTGCAGCTCGTCCAGTCCGTCCACGTTGACCACTGCGACGGAACGACCTTCTCCACGTCGAACTTCTTCTCAGAACTCCCGGCAGGGTTCTCCACGGTGCAGGAATACTGTCCAGGATCGCTATCAACATCGACTTTAGTGACATTCAAGCTGAATCCATCGTCAGAAGCCACGAGTTTGCTTCCATCAGGAGTCAAAGGCTGTCCATCTTTGAACCACTTCACAGTTGTGTTGGAATCTGCAGAGTCTACTGAACAGTCAAGGGTGAAATCCTCGTCAGGCTTCACTTTTATCTTCCTCTCGCTGGGATCTGTGAACTTGGGCACACTTTCAGGGGCAATTTGGAACTGCTTCTCAAGCGTTCCGTGAGGATTGCTTCCCACGCAAATATATCCTGCCGGATCTTCTGTGGCTTCAATTGTGAGTTGATCCTCAGTCGCACCTTCGATCTGGACTCTCTCTGGAATTATCTCTGTCGGATCCTCGCGGAACCAAGAAATCTCCGGCTGAGGCTTCCCAACAATCGGACAATTCAGAGTCACGGGTTTGCCGGGCATTGACGAGATCTTCTGAATGTAGCTCTCAAGTTCAGGATCAAAGTGCTCAGCTTCAGCTTCGCTGGAGAACTTGGGAGCTTCCTCAACCTGAATTGTGTATCTGAGCGTGAGATTTCCAGCAGGATTCTCCACGAGGCACTCATAGACGCCAGCATCGCTGTCATTAGCTTGTGGAATTGAGAGGAATTTCCCATTTTCCAGCAACTGCACTGAAGGACTTTCGGCGACTTCCACGCCGTCCTTTTGCCACTTCTGCGTGGGATCTGGCACACCTTTGGCCGGGCAGTTGAGTGTCACTGGATCTCCAGCCAGGACGCTGACAGTTGAGTCATTTGCCACTCGCATCAGCCAATCGATGACTTCTGGAGGCTCCGAATTGTTCACTTTGAAAGTGACACTCTCGCTTCCTTCGCTGTTGGTTCCTTCGCACTTGTAATTGATGGGCTTCTCACTCTCGTACTCGATCCTCAAGACTTCATCCGTCACTCCGGCAATTTCTACGCCGTCTTTGAACCATCTGATTGCTGGCTGGGGATTCCCCACCATTTTGCAGTCCAGCTCGACACTCGTGTTTGGCGCCAGTTCAATGTTCTGCTCCAGACTCTTGCCCAAGTACTGCGGCCTCGCCACGTCTGTTGTGTCGAGTCCTGTTGGGAGGATCCGTGAGAATCTGTTTCCCCCGGAATCCTCACCCTTCACTTCGATCTTGAAGACGCCCGTCGGCGGCGCAAAGGGACGACAGCTGAACAAGAAGGTGTTCTTGATGGGCGCCAGCGGCAGGATGAACTCGAAGGGACTCACAGGGCCTTCCCTGAAGAATCTCACGGTGTTCAGCGTGCGGATGGCGAAGGGATCCGACGGCATGATGCAGAAGATGTTGTCATTCCCTCTGATCGGCCGCGGCAGGGCTTCATCGATGGTCAGCGGCGTGTGCAGAGTGAATCCGAAGCGGAAGGTGATGTCGCTTATTCCCACCACCTTGACTGAATGCGGAGAACTGGAAGAGGCTCCGATTTTCCACAATCCTGGCTCGGGATCCATGATCTTCACGGTCATGACATTGGGCAGATTCACGAGTCCTTTGGCTTTCTTCGACGGCAGATTGTCTGGGTTGTTGACTGTGATGTTGGGATCGGATCCTGACACACTCACACTGAAATCCTTGAGGTTCTTGTCAATCTCCAGTGGAATGTCGTGACTTGCGGGCTTATCGGAGTTGATTAACTTCAGAATCTGCAGTCCTTGATCCAGCGTGTCGCCCACACTTTCCAGGATCTGCAAGTAAAGGGGATGAGTGGAGAAATTACGTGAAATTCCGTGCTTATCTCACCGTATTTGTGTCCCTGGACTTTATTCTGAACACTTGTCCATTGCTGGCATCTGCCAGAGTGTAGTAAGTGTCGAAGGTGGGCGGGATTGGCTCACAAGCATCATCAGCAACAATGAATGTGATCTGAAGGAAAAAATCGCAATTGTTGTGAGTTTGCCAGGTGTTTTTTTTTCGTCTTCTACAGCCACATTTGCATACTCACTGAAGTCCTCTTCTCCTGAAGGAGTGACATCGCATCGGGCATCAGATAAGCGTCTTTAGCATCGGCGTCCGTGAAGACGTAGACGAATGAGTTGGGCAGACACTTTTCCAGGGCGAATTTGATCCCTGTGATGCACATTTCGGGACAATCTCCTCCGCCATAAACCGTGACGCGGTCCAGTTCATTGAGCAGCTCTTGTGGGTTCGTCGTGTCGAGTTCTGGGCCAACGTCTGTGTGCGAGCGCGCAAAATTGGGTGAGAAATGCGTTGCGATAACCTCGTGAACCGCGTCCTAACTTACATGGATCATTGAATGGCACGAAAATATAATTGTAGATGGGATTGTTGGCTTTGGTCATCATTTTGCGAATGATGAACGCCGCCCCGGCGCGCAATTCCTCCAGATCGTCGCCCATGGACGAGGTGGTGTCGAAGATGATGACGAGACTCGCCTGGCCAGGACGTGGCGGCGGATTGCTGCCATCTTGGCCGTGGATCACTGACACAGTGCAGAAGATAAGGAGGAGCACAGCGAATTGCATCTTCTCCGCAACACTCGCGATTCGCTACTGAGCAAAAGCTTCTCTTATCTCAGTGCTTTTCTGTGCTTGCACAAATTCACAACACTTCGGCGGAGTCTCGAGTGGCGACTGAAAGAGTTGGATGAGAATTAAATTGAATTTATTGGATTGTCTGCGCGCTGTTGAAGTTCTTTTTCCGTCTCATTGCGTCTCTTTTCTTCTAATGAGCTTCATCTAATTCTGCTCCGAAAGTAGTCTGCCAAGGTTGTATCTTTGAAATATACATAAATGGAGGATTGTTGATTATGCTTCGTCGACCTTCGGCAATTGGTCTCTGGAGATTTATTGTCATATTGATGATCTAGAGAGTGTGTGATCATTGTAAATCAATATCTGATTCCACTAAATCATCGTCGACAGAAGGAGTGAATTCCGCGGAAAGAGTCTTGTTTTTCGACTCTTGGCTTTAATGTGTTGGCGGGAAATTTTCAGTGATGAGCTCGAGAGCTTCACACCCACAATCACCGCTCTTATAAATTGTCGCTATTGAGCATCTCTCGGTTAATAACTATAACTATTATTCTGCCGGGAGTGTCTCAAAGAATTCCCGCGCATGATTTCTCGCAAATGAATAGCGCTTGAACTGCTGAAAACAATATTAATCATTCCTGCTGTCTTTGGCCGGAGGAATTCGTGAGATAATTATAGCGAAATTATCCGCAAATTCGAACCTCAAATTGAATGGCAATAATCACTCCGACCTTCACGGTTCATTTGAGAAGTAATACAACAGGTGAAAATCTGATCTAATGCCTTTTATTTGGTTCCGGGCGCGGAGTGGCGAAAGGAGCAGTCCGGATCCGACAGAGGGCAGCCGTTTGGGTGATTCTGGTGAAACCAGCAATCTTTCTCTTTGAACTTCCTCTTGAATGGCTTCCTGGACTTTGGCACGTGCTGCGAAATCTTCCGCGGATCGCGAATTCGCACCTGACCTTTGATGACTTCAAAAATCTGGTTGTTGTTCCTCAAGAGCGTCTGCAGTCCGCCGCATTCATCCTTAAGAGCCTTCAGGAGTTCCTGAGGGATTTTCTGCACAATTTCTGGCAAATCTATGCTTCCTCCAGCATTCCAATCATCTCCAGTGTTGAATTTCTCATCGCATTTCAGCAATTCACTGAAGACAATCTCAACAATTTGACTGGTGATGTTCTTCGGCACTTGAGTGCAGTTTCTGACCTTCTCAAGAGCTTCTCTGGCTTGAAACTTTGCACTGCTTTTCTCCTCGATAAATCTCTCAAGAGATTCTCTGTTCAACGCACTTCTGGACTTTCCGATTATGCATATTCTTTTGGTGCTGGGAATGCGTAGACGATCGAGTTCAATTGAGAAGCCACAAATCTCTGAAATCTCCATTGCGTAGTTGATGAAATCGTGATACAGGGAGTTCTTGCAATTCCTCCTCTGGTATTTATTGCCGTTGAATTCATAGGCGCAGCACGGAAGGAGGAAGAAGCGACAATTGGGGGAATTTTTGGCAGCTAGAACTGGAATCCAAGGCGACATTTCGTCTGAATGATTGCCAATAATCCAGTCTGTCGGTGGGATTTCGTCATCTTCCATTGGATTGATGGTTTTCTCCAGCAACTTCACACTCTCCGGATAGACATCCCAGATTTTCCTCTTCCTCAGATCCACTCCAATCCCAGGATAGCCTTCGGATGTCAAAATGAAGACCAGAAGTCCATTTCCACATCCCACATCGACGAATGACTGGAATTGTGAGCTTCCCATGAGCTTCCTCTCCTCCTGCCACAGCGTGATGAGGTATGCGGCTATTGCGATGTCTTCGAAGACAAATTTCTGCGGATCTGTAACTTCAGGCCAGTCTCTGACCAAATCCTCGCCGTATTTCTCCTTCAATTGACTGTACTTCACGCTGTACTCCTCAATGTTCACCAGTGACAGCGATGGAATGTTGAATTGTCCTTTGGGAGCTTCTGAAGTCATCCATTTCAGGAATCTCGGGAACATGGGCTTCAGCCAGTCAATCTTGCCGTCCAGAATATTTCCTGAAGCTCCTGAGTAACTTCCAAGCTCGAATTCTGGGCTTTTGTATGCTAAATAGTATCCGGATTTGAGGAAAAGATTTCCTTCCTCTTCCTGATAAGTGAAAAATGACACTCTCTTACTCGGAACGTCTGGAAATGGATAGGAAATTAATGAAAAACTGTCTGGATATTTTCTAAGAAAAGTGTTCTCACCCAGAAAGACAATCAAGAAGAGCTGAGAATTCTGGAGGTTCTTTTGCAGGAGTTTCATCTTAATTACACATGAAGTCAGTCTTTGGCAATCTTCTTGAAGCAATATTTTCACTCTAGTCGACTCCAGAGGCAGGAATTCCTCAATCACTCCCAGTTTCTGGTTCTTCTGGATTGTTTTGATTGCACTTTGAAGGTTATATTCCTGCTGAGGCCATGAAAAAGTCCCCAGAATCGCTCCACCGACAATCCTTCTATTGAGAAGTTGAGGATTAAATGTGTGAATGGCAATCATATTCCAGAATTGCTGCTCTTCCAACTCGATCATGACCTTTTCCACGGTTTTCTCACAGAAATCCATCTCTGTTTTTATTTACACTCACGTTGTCAACATTGTGAGTCGTTCCAGATGCTCGATTGGTGAATTTCTCAATCTTTATTTCATTGTAATTGAGATTTTTCCTTGTCGATATTTTCTACTTATTTCCCACTCTTCGATTTCTCCCCTTAATTACGTGATTATGAGGACATCAAGAGCAGTTCAATCTGTGGCAATTATAAAGAAAATCAAGCGGCAAATTGTGAGATGAAAGGCGGGAAAAGTTGATAACCATGAGCTCGTATTTTCCTCCGACAGAGAATTCAATTAGACTTTATTGCTTTCAGTGTGAGGCGGTGGACAAATGCTCTCATCGTCTTTCGTGCTGACGATTTCTGCGGCCGCGATGAGCTGCTCGCTGTACTGGCCGTCGCGATGCGTCATCTCTGGGCCCTTGCGCGCGTTGTCGCGCATGAACTGGCGCGCGAGATCCTCGTCGATCACAGACATTTCCATGCTCTTGCCCCACGCCACTAGAGCGAAGGGACGTTCCGGCGTGAGACGCTCCGAGGTCGTGATGACGTGGCGGAAGAGGCAAGACTTCACGAGGCTCTTCAGCTTCTTGGCCAGGCCCTCGTGAGCGCAGGGATGATACAGGGCGACGATGGCGCCGTGCTCGAGATTGTGGATCCACCGCTGGACGGGAAGGTAGAGATACTCTCCATAGCGCGCCCACAGCGGCCGATGAGGACCACTGAAAGACACAAGCGTGAGTAGAGAGCACAGACTGAAGCGTTCGGCGTCTCACAATGTGGGTATGTTTTCTGGGTACGTGATGTTCTGGCTCATGCAGCGATGCGGAGCGGAATAGGCAAGTGGGATCTGGTAGATCCTCATCACGGGCTCGGTGTTGTAGTTTGGGCGGTAGTGAGTGTAGTTGTCGAGGCACATGTGGACAATACTGTGGCTGATGTTCTTGGGATCGTAATCCAGCGTGAGATTGCTCTTCCCGTCATCACAGGCCGGATCAATTACTCCCATCGCAGCGGATTCTGCACTGTCCGGGAGTTTCTCGTTGAGATCCGCGGCATTTGGGGGCTGTGGGAACCATTTCCCAGCCCAGGCATCGGGGTTTTCCTCATCTGGAAGTATTGAGAATGCAAACAGACTGCGTCTTACGCTTCGAGTGTAGGTAAATATGTGGCGCTTTACCTGCTAAAGTAGTCGTTGTTAGTAGGAACACATTGAGAAGCAGTACCAAGAGGGGCATCTCGGCTCAGTCACATCACATAGTCCTCCGCGGAATGTTAAGGCGACGGTTGAGGGGAGTAGAAAAGGCAATTTCTCACATTAAATGCCCTCCGCAAAGAGGCTTGCTGGCACTGTGCGGTTGCGACTGACGTCTGGGAATCGGTTTTCCGCTGTTGCGACCCTGCGCAGGCCAGATGGCCAGCATTCCCGCTGTCAAGGGGTGTCTTTGTGTGCGTGTTCTGTGTGTGAAGTTTTGTGGGAATCTCAGAACAGCTCAGAAAATCATCTCTCGCCGGCAAAAGAGAATCTAGAAATCCTCCAAAATGCTCACAGAAGTCGATGTGTTCATCAGCAACTACACCCTCGTGGATCCAGAGATCTACCAGCTCTGGATTGAGGGATACACTTGTGAGTAATCTCCCTTTTTCATCCCATTGAAAGTCATTTACCATTATTCTCTGTTCAGCCACTGAAGCTGTAAATTTCCTGAAGCTAAAAGAAAGCGCCAGTTTCATGGGCATTCCCGTGGAATTGGTCTGCTCAGACGTCCTGGATCACTATCGCACATATTCTTTGCTGGAGCGTTTCCTTCACATGCCAGCCAAGCTATCCGAACAGCCATCATTTCAGCTTGAGCCCCAAAGTCGGTCGCTTCTCATTGAAAAGTAAGTCACTGAAGGATTCCTGGAAGACCTGCTAAACTGTCTTTCTCTGGTCAGATACTATTCACTGGATGATGCCGTTGCCCGTGAGATTTTGGGGAAGAAATTGTCATCCAGATACCGAAAAGATCTCGATGAAGTGGCCGAGAAGACGGGAGCGAAGCTCAAGTCTTGCCGCCGCCAGTTTGACAACGTGAAGAGGATCTTCAAGACTGTGGAGGAAATGCCAGGGAACATGACCAACAACATCAAGCAGCAGTTCATGCTTCCCGACGACCTGGCCAGGAAGTACGCGGCCGTGGTGTTCATTGCCTGCCTCAGATTCGAAACCTCGAAGCGTCGACTTCAGTATCTGGATTTCCTGGATTTCTTTGAGTGCTCTCAAGCTGTCATGACCTTCTGGACGTACACGTACCAGCACTCGGGTCCTGAGTATTACGACACGGAGATGGATAAGGAGTTCCTGCTGGACCTGCGAGAGTTGCGCTGCCTCGTGGAGAAAGAGAAGGAGATCAAGCAGTAAGTGCTTTTTGTTTATCTCCTAAGCCCAGCGATGAAGTCTGTGATCTTGTCTTTCCAGTCTCGTGTGCATAAGACTGCGACCCACGCTGCTAGAGCGAAACTACCAGGAGTTGGATGTCAACTTCCGATCTTACTGGCGGGCTCTCATTACAATCGCCTGCAATCTGCATCGCACGCGTGAGCTGAGAGGCCTGTTTCTGGAGCTATCGGAGAAGCTCATTGATCCGTGGCGACAGAACAACTGGACCGTTGACCAGGTGAAACTCTTCCTGCCCGCCATCACGCAGAGTGTGTTGGACTTGGAGGTCTCAAGGTTTGCGCTTGCAGTGTGATTTATTGGGTCAGTTTTTCATCTCGTCTCCGTCTTTCAGGGACCAAGACATTCGCTGCCTCTGGGATCGCTACATGCAAGTGATCAGCACGTGCTTAATACGAATGTATCATACCTGACAGCGAATGTAGAGAATGGCATTGGCGATGACTTACTAATTGCGAAGACTCTGTGTTTTCATTGCCTCAATTTTCGCACCACCTTCGCTGCCTTAGCAATCGCATGCGATGTTGTGATAGTTGGGGGTGAGACGATAACAGCAAGAGATTGGCTCATGCCATTTAATAGCGGCGCCAGTATTCTCATAACATGGATTTTTATACACTCTCTCGCCACATCACGCAGATTTTGGGGGTGGAAAATTGGTCTCGCCTTCTGCAAGTTTTGCAGACTCTCGCATTTTCTCTCTTGGGTGAGGCTTCTCGCAAGAGTGCTCCACAAAGGATGGACGAACAGAGAAAAACCGAGAGAAATTGCAATAAGCGCAAGCGCATCCTTTGTAATAATGCCTCCACAGAGTGTCCCATTCGTCCTGCAGACTAAAAAAAAAACAGAAAATTGTCTTCTTAATTTAGCAAAGCAGACAGAGTAGCAAACAAGCTTAAGAAGCCCTTGAAGAGCTGAATAAGATGTTCTTTTAGCATGATATTGTATTAAGAGTTATTTCGTTATATTTCATGAAATTTCAAAGCATTTGTCCATCAAATTCCCAGAATAACTCTGTTCTTGTATTAAGAATATAGTAACTTAATAGTTTTTAACGCAAATTTCCTGTACTGAAAAGAGTGTAGAGATGTTGTTTGTACATATGCGCGGTGAAACTACGCCTATTCCAGTGCCCCGCCTGCTTTGGGCAGAGCTGTGACGTAATCGCAAATTGCTCTGTGCGTGAGACACTCTGTGCAAGCCCATGATAAGGGTGAAACTGTGCCGCGTCCACCTCTTTTGCCAGTGAGTCCTGAAAGCTCGAAGCTGCTGGAGTTTGCGGTGCGATCTGTGGCCAGCGAGATTCTCAATCAAGTGGGATTTTGGTCAGTGAATTTTCTCGGTTCAGTGAGGATTTTCGCGGATGGTTGCTCTCAGAGTCACTCCCTCGGAATTCTGGCGCCAAAGTTTGTGCGATGGTGTTTTCCGTCACACTCTCCCCCGGACAATTTGTCTGCTGTGCGTGGAATGGGGCGCGCGCGACCGCGAGAGAAGACGGGACACAATTCATTTTGGGTGGCAAAGCGCTCACATCATCACTTGGAACAACAAAAGGCTGTGCAGAGAGTGCGAAAGAGAGACTCGCGCGGAGAGAAAAGAGTCTTCCGTGTCTCCCCCAAAGCATGCTAATGCAAGCACTGAAAACACCAATATAATGCCCAGAGTGAGGCAAGAGTGAGCTCACTCAGTGTCCAAGAGTCGTCGACGAGTGTGGGTGGCACCGTTTCATCAATCTTCCTGGCCACTTTCTGTGACTCCCAAGAGTCTCGGTCCCCTGAGTGCTGGCTGGAATCTTTGTGTCACAATTTTCCCACAATTGGGACGACTTCTTTCATCTCGTCCGCGTCTGAATTGCTGGTGAAGTGGCAGGATTCGGGTGTGTGTGTTCCTTCCCATGATCAAAGAATCGCATCTCTCTTTTCTTGCAAAGGCCACTCAACTCGACGATTTTTCCTTGTGAATTCTCAGGAGGAAAAAGGGATGGGCTAAGCGTATTTTTCTCTGCTTTCTGCTCCAAACCAAATTATGCAGAGGCGAATTTTCAAGGCGGAAAATTCTGCAGCATAAGTAGTGCAAGTCAGTGCAGTGCAAGTTTGCGGTGAAAAATTTAATTACATAATTCGCAGTGGTTTTCGGGCGAGGGGCGCAAATGGAGGGGAAAGAACCCATTAAAATGTTTTTCCTCCATTGATTTCTCAAGTGTTTTCCTGGGATTAAGCAGTGCCTGCATTGAATTAGTTCCCCTTTTTCCGTGTATCGCGTCTGTGATTGTATTTGGGATCATATGTGAAGAAAAGAATTTATAAGTGATTCTCTCTAAGCCAATATTTGGATATGTTAAGCGAGAGAAAGAGCGAGAAGTCGAGTGGAAGGAGTGGTTAATTAATATGCCTTTTTTTCTCTGTGGCTATCTTCCGCAGATGAGAGTTTGGGCAGTGATTGTGAAGTAATATTTGGGTCAGGAAAGTGCAAGGAGGAGCGCAATGGCTCAGTTCGTAACGCATATCCAGCCGACGCTGATGGAGGCCTCCCAGGGGCACTCGCCCCATCATCACGGCCACCACGGGCATCACGGCCATGGCATTCAGTCGCCGCCGTCGGTGAACAATCACCACCATCCGCCGATGAAGCAGCATTCCAAGCCGCAGCATGGACACCACGAGACACACTCGCATCGTCATCACCACTTTTCTGTAAGTCACTTTCCAGATCTCTGCCCGGTCACAAACACGCCACCGCCACTTTCTCACACAACCGCACACGGCGACATTCAACACTCAGGCAGTCGCCAGTGACGGATTCCCTCAGCTTCCCCGGAATATTCCCTCAGAGGGACGAACATTACGTCCTTGGAAGGCCCTGAAAGGGATTCCTATTGCCTCTGGGCGGTAGAATGGGAAGTTTTCCCTATAAGGACACATCCTGTTGGCTTCCAACTGATTTCCAGCGGATTACGACACTGTTAGTATAGCTAATGAGCGGGTTTTGGTTGAGGTTTCCTCTCCACATCACTTCAGTGATCCAGTTGATAAATCATACAGTGAAATCGATCTGTAGAATGAGGGGAAATGCGAACAATCACGTGAAAATACATTCGAATAGATATTTTCATGATTTCCCTCTTACTAGTAAGGATATCGGCAAAAATCCTAACATGATAGATTTATAGTTGGAATGGTTTTTCCTAGTCTTTCGACGGAAATGATCAACATGTGTAAGTTTTGGCTCACAATTGCTTGCTTTTCGATCTTCACTTAGTCGTGTTCAGTGCGAAACAGACTGTTTCGTCCCCTGAAATCCCATTTGCTCACCAGCCAGGCGTGCTTATGCACTGTTCTCCACTCACATGTACAGATAGTTCTCTCTCTGCTGTGTGTCACTCCAAAAAGTGCCGGCCGATGTTAATTTCTGCTTCCCGCGCCACGAATCTCAACCCATTGCTTCAGTTTAGCATTGACATTCTCTGAACTCGCGCGGTGCTTGGGAAGATCATCACTCTTCCCATATCGAATCTTAGTTGCAATTCATCTCAGCTCCCGACGCAGTTTCTCCAGGGTGAACCCGTCGTCTCACGATAGTGTGTGTGCTTTGTGCTGTTGGGTGTAGGAAAAAAAAAGGGCTCAGAAAGAAGAGAATGAACTGTGTGTTCCCTTAAAACTATTCCCCCTTCTTTCATTACCAATTCGGTCGCTATTATTGTTATTACGTTTGATTGTGGCGTGGCTGGAAACAAGAAGAGGACATACACAGAAGCCACGAGAGTGTGAAAGAAACTGAAGCGGAACGGGAATATAATTTTTACTTTTTAATATCACATTTTTGTGTGGTGCGCCTCCATTGAAGATATTCCCATGTGTTGCCACTTGAGCGCCGTGAACTAGTGTTGGTGATCACGGGGAAAAAAGTTGCTGGAGGAAGGAAGAGAAAGAGAGTCCAAGAAAAGAAGTGTTTCGAGGCGTTTGCTAGTTGTCACAATTCAAAGGAATAGCACATGCAGAACTCGTGCAATAATCTCGTAAGTGAACTTACCATGATTTAGCGTTAAAGCCAAAGCAATTATACCTTTTTCGGATGTGTGTGGGTGTTGGAAATCGAATCGCGATATTCCCAATCGTATCTCTCTCTCTTCCAACTCACACTGCGCGATTCCAAGAGCCGGTCATCCATGTGCAAATCGCGATGGGCTTTTTGCTTTCCGGATTATCCGACTGTGCCTTTGAAGTGACTTTCTCTCTGATAGTGCAAACCATACCTTTTGAGAGAATACTGCGTGGATCGTGTGAATGGACGCCCAAGTTGTCAGCAGATGCGTTTTGTGAATGAATAGTGTTTTTTCTGGGCCCATTCTTTGAGGGCACGCACGAACACGGACAGCAATATGTGATTGAATTCCCCGTCAAAACGTGCGCGATCACCAATTTTGTCAGTGGATTTCCTCCGCTGATCGTCAAGTGGAATGAAAGAGAATCATTACGTCATGGCGTGAATTTAGACGACAGAAAAATTTGCATAAAAAGTTATTCAGCATTTTATTATCAATTGTGCTATTATTTCAATTGAAGACCTCAAGCACTGCGCTTGTTTTTTTCTGCTACTTCTCGCGCCAAGACGAATGTGTAATAATTTTGATAATTTTTGGGGCATATCTCGGTGCCTCGCATTGAAGTGTGTGGGCTATTTTTTAGACTGACCACTAATTGAGTGGTTTTCTGCAAATTTCCTCTCATCCCATTCGTATGCCATAATATGCAAATTGCTCCGCTTTTTTTTCACTCTAGTGGATGATGGGCGATGTGCTAAATATAGCGAAATTATGTGATACAAGGCGCTTCGCGCCCTGCATTTCGCACTGTGTTTATTCTGATCGAGTTCTGTAAGCACGCAAAAGTTCCAATAGCTGTGCACACTCTATTATTTGACGTTGACACAAAGTGTTCACAAGTCGCACTGAATAATGAGGCGAAGAGTGCGCAGAGAGGTGCAGAAAAGGGGTTGAACTAATAAAGCACAGTAATTCGATCAACCATGATTATGTTGAGGACGAGTGAAGAGATTTTATGCCACATTGGGTGTGTCTCTCCCTCATTTTTTTTCCACCTCAATTCTATTATTACCCGCTATTTTTGCATATCACTTCTGCCCCGAAGGGTTGACCAATTAAGATTAATAATGTTCCCAGTGCATCGAAACGCTGGGAACACCGCGAAAGCGGTGACATTGAAGATTTCCAGCGAAATTAAACTGGAAAGCGATTCGGTTGACACGCGCGTTAAAATGCAATGCATACATTAAATAATTCACTCAAAGTCCAAAAGATAAAAAAGAATCTTAATGGACTGTGTGAGTCATGATAAAAGTGTGAAAAGTTTCCAGCTTCACACACGCATGATGCTCGAAGTGTTTATGAATAAAATATTGCTGGGCACGTTTGCCAAATTCCCTCTCGTCACTGTTGTGTCCCCTCGAGAGACATACATTCAGCTGGAAGGCACTTAATGATAGTTCAATGGCAATGTGAATTCATTGCAATAAACTTTCATTTAGTAGTTTCTTCCAATTAGATAATTAATAGATGCGGCTCGCTTGGGGAATGGATTCTGTGGCCGTTCTGCTGGTGGATTAATGAGGAATTTGACCTTTGACAATTTGCGTAGACTTTATGTCTTTGTCCTGAAGCGTTTTTGCTCAGGACAGCCGTGATAAATTTCGTATCTGCGTTCTCAACCTTCTTGTTTTCCGTACCATCTCACTCCAATTGCCCCCAATTTCACGACATTGGTGTTTGTGCGAAATGGCGAGAAAGCTTAGGGACAGAATGGACCATTCTTGATGCTTAAAAGAGGGTTTTTTTTTAGTTTATATACCATTAGAACAGTATTAAGCAGAGTTAAAACACAGGAAAAGTTGTTCAAGTTAATGAAAATATCGGTAATTGATTAAGAATTATCTTAATTTTTGTTTTAAAACTCAACTGGAAACCACTCCCACTTTGAAGCCCCGCCCATTTAAGAGTTGAAAACAGAAATAAAACAGTCTCAATCAAAAATTTCTGCCGTCAAGAGTGAAAGATTTGAAATTTAGATTAGATTACAGCTCTGAAGTTTAATTCTACCAGAACTTTTTGCTACTTTGGAAGTCCTCTCGGTTGGATTGCCACATTCTGTGGCGTTTTTGGCAGAGAAGAGGAAAGACAGAAGCAGGGATGGGAGATAGTGGCGTCGACTCAAGTGTGTCAGTCTCCGCATGAGTCACTGTGCCCTGGAGAGAAAAGCAGCAAATTGGGCCAAGAAGTGTGGGGTGTCGAATGAATTCATCCAACCGCCACCCGGCGCAATGGGAATCACTCCGTGTTCAAGGAGAAAAATCCTCTCGCATCGCAGAAGCTGTGGCAAGGATAAAATCCACCCAAATTGCAGACAGAGTGTCTGAAAATATGGCATTTTCATATCCCAATCAAGGGGGCAAATTAATTTTCATTCTGCATTGTGTGACTTAACAAAATATTTCCGTATGAAACGCACACACGCAATAAATGGATGGATTATTTCTATTCAGGTTAATAGTGAAGGCAAGAGGAGGGGAAAAGTGGTTGGACAGATTAAAGGTAGATTTTGTGATTGCAAGGCTGTCGGCGGAATATGGCAATTTCATGAAATTCTCCCAGGAAATGTCACAAGGAATTAAGGAGGAAAGCTCATTAGATATTAATTTGTGATTTGGTGAGTGAAATCACGGAGATTTTTAGGACTTTCGCCTCTGCAAATCAAGATTGAGCGCTCATATCCAGACAAATTGCTTGCTATCTTTAGAAAGACAAGGTGAAGAGAAAAGGAGAAGCAATTCAAGTCGTTCAATATTTAAGCAAGTGACGATGGGAGGGACTCTCTGTGTTCTTCCTTATTTGCAGAGATAAGCGCTGAGGTCGTGAAGGAGAGCAGAATTGCTGAATAGGGTGGAATTTTTAATATATATTTGTATGTCTTGCACGAAAGGATCGATATTGCAGTTGAAATGGGACTCGATTCTATTGATTGTGACTCTATTCTTTAGTTAATAACGTTGTTTTTACACATATGAAGGAGTGACGACTCCAGAAATGTCTGTTTTCAGTCTAATTGTGTGGAGAATCTCAATTATTGCGCACCCTTTCTACTTTACCAGTGATTTTTCCTACAAAATCGTTGGATTTTCCTCTTCGACTGGATATTTTAAAGTCGCGCATGGCTTTTAGAGACTTCCATGGAATTCTTAAAGCTCACAAAGTTTTCAACTTGCTTTTTCCTTTAAAGCTATAAAACTCAATTTACATCTCGCTCACCAGCATTACCCACTCGGCAATGTGATGTGTTTTTCCCGCAAGAATTTATGACACACTCAATGAGGAAATATTCCGCAATTCCTCTTGCCATCTTCACATCTCTCGTGGCGTCTGTAGATTCCATGTGAGTGCATCTCTCCTTCTCCTTTCTGCGAGGCGCCGCGGTGCATTTGGCGTTGCTGAAACCGGCGTCGCATTGCACCAATCATATCCTTAGTGGAGAGGAGAGCCCAGTTTGGGGACTCTTCGTTCAGTTTCACTCGCGAGCTGGTGATGAGCACAAGTCCCTCGGTGGCGCTCTTGATCGCATCTGCAGAAAATTTGCAGCCATACTTGACCACAAGAGAGTGAAAAAAAAGTGGAAGTAAAAGTCCT